GAGGTTCTTGCAGAAGAAAGGGGTTTGCACTCCAGCATTGAGGCAGATGTGAAGAATCTTTTAGAAGGGAAGAAGTTCAGGGATTTGGAGGCAATGCAACAACAAATTGAGTCACAAATGCGCTCAGGCACTGCCAAGGTTGTTGAGTATTGGGAAGCTATATTAAAACGCCTCCAAATATATAAAGCAAAGGTATACAGCCAGTTCACTGAAACTAGCCTTTTTTGCTTCTAATTTTCCATAGGCTTTTGTTTTAGATCGATAATTATTGATATTAATCATGACTTTAGACTAGAGTGTTGCTTATCATCTCAATTGGTCATCAAAGTCCTTTCTGTTAATTGCTATGTTTGTGTCATATTTTTTAAACTTTAAATTTTCCCTACTTGCAGGTTGTTGTGCCTTTTGTAGGCACTAGAATAGAAATTGTACTCTTGCTGACTATATCTGTTTTGCCTTCAAGTTTGAAAAAAAAAAAAAGATTTGAGTTTGAGAAGTCTTTTCTTCTATATATTTTTAAAATTTTGCAATTTGAGGCCTCTGAATTCTATCCTTTCCTCTGAACTTGACGGGATTGTAAAATTCCCTAACGGCTTTTTGTCCTTGTTCTTCTAAGCAAGAGCTACTTAGGCTAAACATTGGTTTCAAAAGGTGTAGTGTTTCAAGAGGAAAACAAACAAATGAAACATCTCAAGATAAGGACGCCAGTGATAAAATATGATAGGAACATGGTTATGATAGATTTCCATGTCAATGAACTAAGATTTAAATATCACATGCCACCTTGTGCCCGGCCCTTCCATATCATCATACCATGTGTCCCATCATGAGGGCACATGCAATTCATGTGCAAAGGTGCATTTGGGAAGGGAATGGTGGTGATTTGTTTCATTCACCAGTACAGATGGTCACACAGGACATGCCATCACATACCTCCATTTCCTTTTATTTGGCATGTGCCTACTTACGTTGGCATGTGTTGCACTTATTTTTTTGATCATTAACAATGCTTACTTTGGAAAAATGACCTACTTCTCATATATTCTGTGTGAACTTGTCTATGATCTACATATATATTTAACACTAAAATTTTAGGGTGTTGTGTATATTGCAACATTTGTTGTGTATTTTAGCTTTTTCTTCATCAGTATAGCTCTGAATTTCTTGTTATGTTAGCTGAATGAAGGTCTAACAATGCAGGCTTGCTTGAGAGAAATCCATACTTCACTTTTAAGAAAGTATCTGCAACATTTGGAGCAAGTTGCAGACGATGAACACCACTTAGAAGCACATGAAGATATAAGGCCTGAGGTGGAGGATGTAATGCATGATACGGAGGGTATAATTTTCTTCTGAATTTAATCTTTCTTAGAATCTCTTTTTAAAAGAAAATTCTTTTTGCTTATGTTGTAATTTTATATTTAGATTCCAAGCCTTATTCTCCTGAACCCATAATTGAGGAGCCAAGCTGTGAACCTGAAGAAGAACTAGGCTCCTTTTCACCTCAACTCTTGCAAGGCGATGAAGATGATGAAGCAATTGATCCTGAAGAAGATAGGGCAGAGCTGGTAATGATACTTCCTTGTAGCTTCTACAGTTTTATCTTTACTTGAAATTATGCTGAGGAACATGTCATCGATGGATCAAGCCTAGAATTCACCTCAATGGTTCATTTTTATTCTTGATATCCAAGGTATGCAATACCGTACCATACCGGTGTTTCGAGGTTGGTTCGGTACGGTACGGTACCATATACCGAGCGGTACACCAGGGCATACCGAGCAGTACACCAGGGCGTACCGAGCGGTACACCTAATTTAAAATATTTCTTTCTCTCTACTGTAGCACCGCAGTACTGCTACAGTATAGCACTGTAGTACTGTAGCACGTTAGCAGTCCGCGTACCGTTATACCATCAGATCGGTATGTACCGCCCATACTGGGCGGTACCATTCGAAATTGCATACCATGTTGATATCTCATATAAGCTAATTAGACATCAATGACTTCTGTATCCATTTTTAGAAATTTGGATGGCTAATACAGAAGAGATAATGACTTGTACATAGCTGTCTCAGACTTTGGGAAAAATATAGCATATTACTGTCAGGAAAAGAAGTACAAGGACTATAGAGGTTATATGAAATATGCCTGATAATTCCCTGTACTTTATACCATTCGACCCGTGAAGTCAGTTATCCGGTCTGAATCACAAGGTTTGCAATTCAAATGAGAGACCCAAGGTTAGTGCAGTCCTGATAGATTGTATGTTGCTTGGGGCATGAGATTCATTTTCATGCAAAACAAATGCTGTGTTTGGCCACCGTCGACCACTATCTGTCAAATTTTGATTCTGATTGGTGAGTCTTGACCCTAACTCCCTCCAAGTTTTGATTTTTGTCAGTTCAGTTATTTGATGGTTTAGGCAGATTTGACAAAAAGGATCAGTAAGATTGCCCAACTGACGGTGTGATCAGTGGTACACTGCTACCCAAAATTTGCTTTATTTCAATGAACTTTCTCACTTAGCATTCTCTTATTGGATTACTTTCTGATGTCAAAAGGTTATTGATTATGGTTAATAATGGGAAACGTATTTCTTGCAGGAGCGGAAACGTGAGGCTGTAGTAATAGAGCAGCAAAGAAGGATTCAGGAAGCAATAACTGCAAAGACAAATACACCTGAAGATAGCATGGAACTCAAAGCCATGAAAGCCATGGGAGCTATGGAAGAAGGTGATGCAGTTTTTGGTGCTGGTGCTGAAGTGACCCTGGATTCACAGGTTCAAGCTCACTCTTATTTACAAAGGTTCAGAATATTGCATGTTGATGGTGCTGAAGTGGTGCATGCACTGCCTTTTGCAAAAGATATGCACCTTTTTTATCTGCTTACGTGAGACTGACTTTTCGACATCTTTTTCCTTCCAGGTGTACTGGTGGCATGACAAATATCGGCCAAGAAAACCCAAGTACTTCAATCGGGTTCATACCGGATACGAGTGGAATAAATATAACCAGACCCATTATGATCATGATAACCCTCCACCGAAGATTGTACAGGGATACAAGTTCAATATCTTTTATCCTGATCTTGTTGACAAGACGAAAGCACCTGTGTACACTATTGAAAAGGACGATAGCAATGGTGAGACATGTCTCATAAGATTTCATGCGGGACCTCCCTACGAGGATATTGTGAGTGTCATTTTTCTCAAGCTGCTAGCATCATGTTCATTTCTGGATTTTTATCATTTCAACAATTCCTTATTTTACCTGCTTGCTTTCTGACACATTTAACAGGCCTTCCGCATTGTCAACAAGGAATGGGAGTATTCTCACAAGAAGGGCTTTAAATGTACATTTGAGCGTGGCATTCTGCATCTCTATTTCAACTTCAAGCGGTACCGCTACAGGAGATAATTCCTGCTTGGTTGAAAGAGTTGAAGGAGGAAGACAGGAGGAAGGAAAAACTTTTGGACAAACTTCTTATAATCACACACGGGTGCTTACAGGGATTGTTATAAGATCGTAAGCCAATGGATTTTATTCATCTGGTAATACCTGGTAATTGTCTTTGCATTAATCTTTCTTTCCAGTCAGGATGAAGCCAAGTTGTGTCGTCTGTTCATATAAAATTTATATATCATTAAGGTAGATTTTAAATGTTTTTTTTCTTTTTTGTTTGTTGAATTGCTCCAATGTCTGGACTTGGCTCATGCAATTGTTCAGTTTGTGATTGCCTTTGTGCAATCTGCCATTATCCAAATCTTTAGAGGGCATCGGCGCTGCGTCGATGAAGTCTGTTGTCGTCACACTGTGTTTGTGATGATGCAGATACCACCGTTGCCTGCTGAGAAGCTAAACAGTGGCTACGGTAGTGTTTGTTGGTGTAGTACTATGCAAAGCAACAATTTTGCTCTACGCAACTAGTTTTATGATTACACCATACGAGGGGATTGGTCTCTCGGGCGGGCAAAATTTCATTGATTTATCCGACTCTTGTGATTACAGCACATGTATCTATTGGTGAACACACGCGGGACCATTACTGCTTTAGATGGAGTTAATTATAACTCTTATAATTAGTTATTTTTAGTATTTTAATTTGTATACTTTAAAAAATTATATTTTAATATTTTTATAATTACGAAAATAAAATATTTAAGTTTATTTATCTTAATATTATTGATTTTATCAACAGAAACATAAAAATAAAAATAAAAAAAATAATGTTAATATTTTAGTTAGTGGTAATGGATGACGACGTCGATGGTAGCGGATAGCATTGGTGGTAGAGGACGATAATGTCGTTGAGGGCTGCAAGTGATTGTTGTGGATGAGGGGAGCGACGATGAGAATCCCTCTGTATTTACATCGATGTTGATGCAATTGTCGAGCAACATCGTTTAGCAACTATGTTGATGCCGACACAAATGTAAAATGACGTCACTCAGCATTTGCATCAATGACTCTTTCATCCTTCAAAAAAACTATATTGACATCGATGCAAATATGAAATAATCCTCTCGACAACTATGTCAGCAATGATGTAATTACTAAATGTCACTTTACATCTGCGATGACATTAATGCAGATGCTGATAAACCCTTTCGTCGCTTAACAACTATATCGACAATGATACAGATGAAAAATAATAAAAGGATCGCTCGACAACTACGTTGATATCGATATAAATACAAATACCAAGTGACCCTTTTTTTGCTTAACAATTACGTCAAGCGTAAATACAAAACCCTCACCTCTCACCATCACTCTTTTCATCTACAATAACCACCTACAACCCTTGACGATGTCATCACTGCCACCACCAACATCGTCCACCACCATTAACTAAAATATTAAAATTATTTTTTTTTTATTAATAAAATTAATAATATTAAGATAAATAAACCTAAATATTTTACTTTTATAATAATATAAATATCAATATAACTTTTTATATAAAGATCAAAATAATAAAATAACTACGAAAGATCCTCAATAAAAAAAGAATGCATTGAAGGATCCCTCAACACTTGTACATTAGCCAGAGACTCGGAAAGAAAGCTAGTGAGATCGACTTGGACCTCATCACTATTTCTGAACCTTCACCTTCTTATTGCTGGACTTTCCATCCTTCTCATTCTCGGCTCTCTTCATCTTTCGGATGGACTCCAGAAGAGACGCTCTCTCCTGAGGGCTGGCTGTTTTAGCAAATGGATTCGTCGGCCCACGGGACTGTACCAGGTTGGTTCTTCCCTTCAAATCCCCTTCTTCCATCGTACTGCTGCTAGGCATCTGACCCTTCTTATCGTTCCCTTCATGCTTCCCAGAATCGCTTGATGGCGGCTTCGGCTTCGGCTTTACACCCGCTGTTGCGTCTCCATCACCGGCGTCCTTGCAAGCTTCCTTTCCTCCTGCCTTCTCTTCTATCGCGTCTCGCCTTGGGAAGCGTGGGCAAGACAAAGATGATGGTGTCAAAACCGGCGCACCGGTTCTAATGGTGTCGGATGAAGATGGCACATTGTTCGTAATGGTACGTGGAGAGGCAACACATGGAATGGCAGCCGGCGTTCTACATCCGTTGAACAATCTCTCCTGAAAGCACATTGTTTGTTCACCAAAAACTGTGAGAGAGGCGGCGACGAGCAAGATGATAGCTTGGCGGAGAGGAAGAGGAAAGGGATCACCTCCAGTATCCCACTGAACCGTTCTGCCAGTATGGGAAGCTTCAGCGCGGTAACCAGCTTTATCGCACCTTTGACTGATTTCTCCAGGGAGAGCGACTTAGCCAGCTCAGTGGCCCTCACGAGCTTATCGCCTGCAATTGCCATCACAAGAAACAGTGTTGATTGCCAACCATGTCCATCACACCGAACCTTTAACGCTTGGTCTTATTACCATTGCAACAGCTAGCAATGAGCCTCAACATGAACCGGTCAATGGCAGCTTCCGTGTTGAAGGCTTCGTCGTCAAGCGCAGTGGTATCCAGACCCGCCATGGCCATTTCTTGGATCTTCTTCTGGGTCTGGGTTTCGGGAAGTCCACAAGAAATGAGCAAGTGAGCGGCAGAACGGGCAGCTGAAACAGAGGGAGGTGAAAGGGATGGACCTGTGAGAGATGCAACTGGGTCATCATGAGCTCACTCTCGAGATCCGCAGCACCTAGATCGGAAGAGGCAAGAGGAAACGAAAGGCTGAGCAGCTCGAGCACAGGCTTCGGCATCACCTGGCACAAAAGGATGCCGTGTTAACTGCAGGAGACAATGGTAAAGGATTAAGCAAAGCAGATTGGATCTCTCTACCGTTGGGTAACAATTAGGAGATTTGCATATGATACAGAATAGCTTGCTTGCATTTAACCCCACTATCCAGTAAGTTTCGTCCTCCGACTTCCTTGTTTTCTCAGCGCTGCAACCACAATCATGTCAGTGCTACACATCACAACATTGTCTTTAATTTGCCTTAGACAGATAAATAAAACAATGTTCATGAAAGTAGCAAAGGAGGAACACCTGAAGACCGGAAGCCAACTGCCTCCATATTGGTGACTGAAAACTCTGAGCACTCCCTGCAAAGACTCACCGATCAGGTATGTTTCCTATGAGTTGAGGCAAAAGTAAGAAGATGATCATGTTAGGGTGTAAGTTTAGCAGACCTTGGAATCATATGAACTTAGTTGTCCTTCCTCACTGAATCCAAACCATGTTAAACAAGAGGTTGGACTCAACGGTAAGCGGCCTTCGAAAAGCTTGGCTCCCTCCGATATGTTAAGCACTAGAACGTCTAGCATCTGCTAATCATTAGAGTATCGTAGAATTAGATAGCCGGAGAAACCAATACTTAAGTATCAACTTTACTGTTCTATTGATCATTATGGACAAACCTGATCTCCTGATGAAAGACATTCTGAAGCATGAGTAACTATTGCCAATTTATCCTCGTAACCAGCTGCAGTCACCACTGGACCATTAAGGCAAAGAATATGTCTCTACAACAATATCAATCAACAAATAAGCAAAGATCACCAGGTAATGATGTATGCTGAAACATAACAATCTGGGAGAAGGAAACAAGACTAGAGTTTCATTAAGTGCAAATTCGAAGCACTTAATGAAACTCTGAGAGGCTTGATGTTGCAAGGATCCTTTATAGAAAGGATGATGTTAGCATATGTGACATGTGAAGTTATGTGTCACGCACCTGCAAGCCACCCTCTGTGAAGATACGTAGGAGATTAAGATTAGTAATAGCAGCCACCCAACCAGTACCGAGTGCCACAGCCTTCACTTCCTCTCCTTCAAACCTCATTAACCACTAGAATCACATGAAATAGCAAAAAACCAGTGAAATCTTAGAGAGAAAAGAAAGAACATGTTAATTGCAACTTCAAATGTTTGTAATAGCCAAATAGAGATTACCTCGCTGTTGTTGGCCCAGCTACTAAAAGGACGATACATAAGAGTACTCATGTTCTTTTCACCTTTGCATGGATTTGAGAAGACGCTTCCATTTTCGTTCAGAGCAGCCATTGTGAAACCAAAGTAATCAGTCATGGCAGGAACCCTGGGACCTCTTCCAGTATCATGGAAATCTACCTACGAAACATAAACAATTGAGAAGATCATCCATTTGATCCACCAAAGAAACATTGGTATAAACATGTACAGCTCAAATTGATGAATGATACTTGCAGTTGTGAAAATTATAGATCGTGTAGAGAATTCTAATGATGCAAGAACTTTTCATCACCTCTACGTGGGAGTAGCCGTCGTTTTCGATTGTGGTGATACTTCCAAGCATGTTGTAGACAAGAAAACATCGCTTCCCGGTCTCCGCAGGAGTAGAACCTGGTTGAAATGCCTCCTGCATGTTAGGCCTTGTGGAGTTGGATGAGCTTGCATTGCCTTCTTTCCAGTCTCTCGTGTGCTTCTTGTGCTTAGCAGCACTTCTCTTTCGCGATTCTATCTGGCGCAGCAGTCCGTCCTCCCCATCGCTATCTTCATCGCAGATCTCATCAGATATAGATTGTTTCCTTGATCTTTTGTGGCCGATTGGAGCCGACTCACCATGACTCTCCTCGATGGCATCATCCAAGCTCCCAGAAGCGCTTGGAGTCTCATCATCTTCATCAAATAAAAGAAGCCTATTTGTGCCTCTTGACTGTAGATCTGCAGCACCATCCGTCGGGGATTTCATGCATGACGGTACTGGAGATTCCCAGATGCCAATCTTACCCATAACATCAATGACGGCTAAAGCATTCCCGTTTTGCTTCCATGCCAAAGAGCAGATTCTATCATCAATTTTTTGTCTTTCGATGTCCTGCCTCAGATCCACATCCCAGATGAGGACCTGCTTGTCCAACCCAGCAGTTGCCATGTACTTCCCACTGGGAGACCAGGCCAGGAAGCAAACAGGTCTCTCATGGTCTCCTTTCAAGGTGAACATCTTCTCGGCTGTGTCTCGGTCGTACATTACCACATCGTTCTTCAACCCTGGGACAGCCAAAGTTTCGCCATTGGGGCTCCAGCTTAGCACATTAATCAGCGAGGCATCTGCGTCACAGTTAGGCGCGATGGCCTTCAGGGTGTGCATCTGTTTCCCCGACGAGAGCTCCCAATATATGACAGTACCGAACGTGTCCACGGACGCCAAGAACTCATTCGACGGATCGAAGGATAGGCCGGTCACAGGCCCCCTGTGCCCCTTGAGCACCTTGGAGATTGTGTTGTCTATGGTTGCAATCAGTTTGATGCCGTCGTCGTCACCGGCCGCGGCCAACAAGCTTCCGGATTTGTTGAACGCGAGAGATCGGATCGGCAAGGTGAACCGTGTGACATTGCTCTGGAACTCTCCATCTGACCAAACAAATGCGAAATCCTTAGCAGAGTGAAGCCACAAACCACCAAATTGAACTTCTTGAAATCAAATCTCTACTATTATTATGATCTACCGGAAACCATTTATTGATCGCAAGTTCTGGTCGCGACCAAATGATCTCACGAAACGAAGCCTTGGAGAAGGACGCAATCGAAGAGGAGGACGAAGATGGCATACCTGGGAAGCTGTAGATCTTGACGGAGTGGTCGATGGATCCGGAGGCAAGGGAGTTGGAGCCGGGACTGAGGGCGAGGGCAGTGACCCCGTCCTTGTGGTCGCGGACCTCCTTGGCGAGCTTCGGCGGGTGGGAGGCGTCATGGATGGAGACGGAGCTATCGGAGGCGTTGGACGTGACGAGGTGGCGGCCGTCGGCGTCCCACAGGATCGAACAGAGCGCGGGTGACCCGGTGCCCTTGTGCGCCTCCCGGAGCTTCAGCGATCGCTTCATGACGACCCTCTTCCTCCAGGTCGTCTTGTTTGGGTGAGGGTTTGGTCGGCTATTAATTACAAAGGGTAGGGTTTCTGGCGGGAATATTGTTTAGGGAGGGAAGCCCATTTTGGCGGGAGCAACAGGTTTTGGTTTCGTTCGCGGCGTCGGGGATGTCGAACTTTCTCGTACATTGCACGTGATTTGAACTTGGACTCGTGCCTCGATTCATTCCAATTTGGTTGGATCAGATCTGGTCAACTTTGATCCATAAATAAAGTTGGACCTGAATATGATGGATCAAAGATTCCAAAAGATGCAGAGAGACGTCATGGTCCAGTTTGCCCTACAAAGAATAAGCTTACTTCATATAAGCACTATTTTAGAGATATAACTGATATGCGTGCCAATGCCAATGGTATTAAATGTGCTTTTGTAAACTTAATACTTATCAAATTGACGCATGAAAAAGCATGCGATCTACAAGAAGTATGATTGCTCTTATACTGACTCAAAAAGCATGATACCTATCAAGAATAGAATGCAGACAGCCTTGGAGCTTGAAAGAGAACAGAACTTTTCATGATCCTCCCCAGTTCCTGCGACATTTTTTTTCTGCTGCATTGCCTGACTAATGACACAAATTTGGTGGCAGATCAAACACCAAGCTACCTTTCTCAACACGAAACAAAAAAAGAACGAAACAAGCGGAACTAAACATCTGAGAACCTGTAGTAACTTTAGTCCATCTTGACAAGAAAATGTTTGTTAGTAGAGCATCAAAGTTGAAGGCGGTATCATAGTCGCCAGATGGAGAATTTACGGGTTGCATCTCATGATCATCATGTGTGGAAGTGGCGAATTTGTCTGATACCCTCACGCGTGATTGCGTTCTTGTTGATATTGGTAGAATGTGAGGATTGCAATAGATACAATGAGGACAGCCATGAAAAGATACTTTGGATCAAGATGTGCTGCTTCTATGGTCCTCACTGTCTCGATCTTGGAATCGCCACCTGAGGATTCCTCCGCTGAAACAGTCATCTCTGCACTCTTCTCACTAACAGGCACAGCTGCTATGGGCTTCTCTACCTGATAACATGTAGTTGCAGGTTAGTACTTATTGAAAAGAAGCACTTCAAATTTTTAGTCTTAAAGAAAGAAAGCTTTGAGAGCCCAAACATGGAGTTAAACCCAAAAAAAAGATAGGGATGACCTACCCAAGAACCCGTAGTTGAAGACTCTGTCAATGCTTCCACATTGTAGCTCAAAGAAGTATGGGCATTTTCTTTTGTTTTGCATTTCTCAGCCAGGATTTTGTTCTTTTTCGTTAATGCAGTTATCTACAAAAAAAAAGACATGGCTTAATGAAATGATAACCCCATTTGTAAATAATCAACATGTCCTCACCTACAAATAAAAAAAAAATTAGTAAAATAACAGCACCCTTCACAAATAATCAACACGTCCTCCACATTTTACCAGAAAGGTTAACTCCACTTATTTGGCACCAACTCCAGAGATCCACTGCCGAACAGAACTGTGAATAACAAAAGAAGAAAGGAGCCGTACCTGTGACTGAAGGCGTTCTCTTTCCAAGGCTAGTTTCTTGACCAGATCACTGATAGTTTTTGTCCGAATACCAATGTCTTTAGCAATGGCTGTTTTTGCACCCTCAGCTTGTTGCAGGGACATCTCTAAATATTCTAATCGTCCTCTTAGGAAACCCAGCTCTTCATTTAGTTCTAGATTAGATTCGGTTAACAGATTAACCTTAGATTCAGCACTCTCTGCCCTACTTTCTGCTTTTGAGACCTTTGTTTTGAGTTTCTCGATCATATTTTGCATGTCAGAAATTGCAGCATATAATCCATTCTGTTGCTCTTCAAGTGCTTCAACAGATGCCTTTGCATGCTCCAACTGAGTATGTAATTCCTGGCATCTCCTCTCTAAAAGGTTTGTCTTTTCAGATTCACTATTTCGAAGAAAAAAAAGCTCTTCATTTAGTTCAACATTAGTTTTACTCAGTTCAGCATACTTTGCTTCTGCAATTTCAGCTCTGCTTTCAGTTCTCAAAACATTAGCCTTGAGACCCTCAATTACTTTTTCCACCTGACTGAGTGCAGACTGCAGCGCACTCTGTTGTTGCTGACTTGTTCCAACAGAAGCCTTTGCCAGCCGCAACTGGGCATCAGACTCTCTAAGCTTCTCCTCAAGTGTTCTCACCTTGTCCTTCAGAGACAATATTTCAGAACTAGCCAGCAAGCTTTCATCTTCAGCTTTCAACCCACTTGCTCCTCTTTCTTTTGACGAGATTAAATCAAGTTCTGCATGAGTCAACCTCTCCTTGGCAGCTTCTTCAGCATGTATTTTCATCAAACTTTCCTGCAACTTTGATCTCATCTCATGTTCCCGATGTTGTGAACTATTTAGATTAAGTTGAAGAACCTGAACTCTTCCAGCTAATTCTTCGGAAGTACCCAAAAGTATCTCAGCAGCATTTTCAGCCTCAAATGCCCTCTCCAAACATATTTCCATCAACTCTTCCATGCAGTATAGCTCTCTTTCTGCATAATGCAGTTTCAGCTTAAGATCCTCCTCACTATATCTTAAATCTGAAAGCTTTTTTTCAAAATCCAGTTCTCTGGCCAATGATTTCTCCAACATTTGTAAGACATGCCTTTGTTGGTCAAGACTCTGCGGTTTCAACTTTGTGCTGATGGATGACAAATGACCATTGTCAGGTTCTTCACTTTCATCAGTCCCTAATTGCACGGATTGAGGAAATTAATGGATTCATTCATGCTATTATGCACAAAAGAATAAAGCAAAAGTACAAATGGACAACTCACTGGTTTCACAATGGCACAAAGCTAGAGTTCTTATGAACGTCGATGACTGATCTAGTATATCAGCAACTGAATCTTGTAACTTCTTCACAGATTTTTCAGCATCATGCAACTTCTCTTCTGCTTTAGCAGCAGATTCTTCAAAGTGCTCATTTTGAGAAACTTGTTGGTGGGCCTCTATGATTTCAGTTTGTAGCAAGCACATGAAGCTTTGTAGTTCTTTGACCTCCATGTCTAAAATCCCAGATAAAATATCAGATTCAAAGGCCTTCAAAACAGACTCATCTGAGATGTCTTTGTATTCCATGCTCACAGCTTCAAAATCATTGGCTCTATCAACTACTAGCATCAAGAGTATCTCCAAGTTTAGTAGCTTCTCTGAAGAATATGCAATATCAAGTTCTACTCTTGTCAGAGCCTCGAATCCATTTCCTCCATTCATTCCCTCTCCACATAGTGAACCATCCTCTTGCAAACAATTATCATCGCAATCATCAGTAGCCATGATCTGATTATCCTTTTCCTACAAGAATAACAACAAACACCATAAATCTGATCATCCTTCTCCAAAAGACAAAAAACGATGTCATGAATCCACAAGATCCAACAGCATGAATAGTACATAAATGAGGATGGAAGAGAGGAGGGAGGGGGTAGAGAAACTCAAGAAGGTACATGGCCAATGTAAAATGACTATCATACCAAACAGTTACAGCAAGTTCGCTCTATCACAAGAAACCATGGTCTAAAAAACCATCTGGACCAGTTTGAAATGGGCAGTAAACGTCAATCAATGGAGAACTACACTGCAGACCAACCCATTTCGGTTGATCCAGGTCCAGTTCAGGGTTTTTATATAAAGACCCTTTATTAATCATTTAAATCCCTCTCCCTCATTCGGTCAACAGGTCCAAGCCACATGCTATCCCTCATGCCACCCGCTTGTCTGCTGCCATTGGCCCACCAGGTACCTCTCCTTCTCTTCCAACTCCTCCTCCTCCTCCCTTCTCAATGCTAACCGATATGCCGACATTATACTTTGTACCAATATGACGGCACATACCATATCTGTATGGTTCTACCAACAGCCAACGCAAGGTCAAAATAAAACAAGAAACAAGACATCAGTTAGCATCTTGGTTTAGGAATATGCAGCATTTGGACTTAGCAAAGTTGAGATAAGACAGTTCCAGCTAGTTGGCTAGTTGATGGATAACACTATGCTTGCTCATAATACCCAATCTTTTGTACCTTGTCACATTAGTTAAACTCGATCACATATATGATGATGTGATCTTGGGCTCTCTTGTTTCCTTGGTTAAAATCTTGTGGCAATAGATGCTTTAGAGGGTGAACTGTATCAAGGCAATAACAGGATTATCAAGAAGCACAACCGTGTGAGTTAAGCAACTGACATAGTTTTTGGTGCTAAATTAACAGGGGCAGTGTGAAGCTTGGAGCCACGAAAAATGGCAAGATAAAAGTCTTCTGCATGCACTTGAACTTTTCCTTCTAGCTGCATTCCTTTGTCTAGCTTAATTTAGCTTGGTAGAGCCATAACTCAAACTCAGGGTTGAACTGTACATTAACCATCCAGCTGCATCACAAAATCTGCTCTAGCTATTGACATGCAACTCAATCTTCATGGTCTCATCCTGAGACAATTGCTCAACTCAGTAACTTAAAGACTTGGTACTTCTCTCTGACATCCAACACAACTTGCTCACTTATATTAATTTATATTCAATTACATGAGGCTCCAAATGAACCCATTGATAATAAGTTTTGTGATATCAGTTAATAAACAATAACCATATCAATTTTTTAATGTTCACTTAGTTAACACTAACTCGGGGAAATATCGTAGAATGTACTCCTGTCAACGGTGTATTATTTTTTTAAGAAATATGCTCCAATACAATATATATATATATATATATATATATATATATATATATATATATATATATGTATATATATATATATATATATGTATATATATATATATATATATGTATATATATACATATATATGTATGTATGTATATATATATAAAGGCTTAAATTAAACAATGATGTCAACAAAGATCGTATGGTGAATTGCAGAGGACCTAATATCAAATGAAGAATAAGAGAGTGAATGTACATCAAAGATAACAAAAGAAGTTTCAATTCTATGAAACTAATCTATCCACACAACCCTTGATCCCACTTTATCATGGTCATGAAATAAAAATCATAGTATCTTTAATGAAGAATTTCTTAGTGAACCAAATGTAGCAGACAATGTTTTAGAAATGAAATCAATCTAAAATATAAGAGACAAAATTAATTCAAGATGTTAAGAGCTTGATTTATCTGGTCTTAAAAGTAAAGTAATACAATTAAATCTTTTTAATGTCTTACAAGCATTATCACACACACACGAAAAGAAAAAAAATAAGAAGATGATGATGATGATGAAACATAGTTGGTTAATACTGAAACATAGTCAAGTAAGTTCTACTGAGGTATTGCTTCGGTATTGCTTCTTTTAGGGATCCTAATATCGGAAAGTAATGGGGATATTTAGGACTGTTTGATTTTAAGTTTTCTATTTTATTATTTAGTACAATAGAAAAGAAAACCAAGAACTTTTAACCTATTTCCACTTAGTTTTGGTAGTAAATTTTCTCAGAGTCGATCAGTTCCTTTTCTTATCATGATTATTATTCTATCACTGAGAAAACTTTTGAAAAAAAGAAATCTTCAAAGTGGTTCAAGCTCCTCTGACAGGCTTGTTGCGAAGAAATATGTACTAAGCAGTGCTAGAACAATGCCTTCTAGGAAGAAAGAACCTTACCAGTATTTTCTTCCTTATAAAATATTCTAGCCTATATATTTAAATATGGAACTTCCAACCAATTTCTGAAACCATATCATTAAGAACCACATGAAAAAAAAAAATTGTAGATTGGTCATTTTCAGGAAACACTGATCATTGGCAACACCAATTGGCAGGGCCTAATTCTCTGGCTGTACTTGGAAGGTGGACGACGATGACAAGAACCACTTGGTTGGACAAAGTCTAAGACAAAGTATACTCATTTCGGCCACTTGGACACTCACAGAACATAAGTCTGCCTCCGAAGCAAACAGCGGTCATCCTATCCTCGGATTTCGCACTTAAGATCATATCCATATTAGATTGTTTTTTACTCGACGAAACCTCTCTAATCCCCAACACGATGATAGCGAGTCAATTTAGACATCCGCACACTCAAAAATGATTATATATCTATATATAACACTGATTAATCCATTCACACAATCCGAACGAACGATTGCATCGATATCGTTCAATCTTAAAACCAAAATTGGAATCCAAAGAGAACCACAAAAACAGCGCAAGAAGATCACGAGAACTTACGTCGCCTTGGGGGCGAATGACCACCGGAGCAAGAAGGAACCGGATCGATTCGAGCGCCAAGGTTCTTCTTCGACCTAGGGTTTCGGCGGGGTATTGGGAATCCGAAGCTGAAGGCGGTGCAGGAAGCAGTGGCTCGCCGACGCCGACCTTTGTGCGATCGGGTCGGGTTGGGACTAAGGGAATGGGCCGGGTCGGATGCTGGATCAAATCGGATGCGGGTGATCAATCGGATATTCCATGTAGACTTGCAAATATTCGGTCCTCCAAAATTTAATATATAATATATAAGATTAAACACTGATATATATTTGGCATTAGTTTATGTATATATATCTAAAATATTGTTGATACTACTATTATCATAATATTCTTTAAGGGATATTAATGTTATCACTTTAACTACAAACGATATGGAAATGTTGGACATGCGCTAATGTAATCAGATTGTGAGATGTTCAGAATCTCCATTACTAATTAAGCCCCGTAAATATTTAATTTTAAATATAAAATATTTAAAAAGTTCTTTTATATTATATATTATTATTTTTAATTGAATTGATTATAAAAAAAAATTATTAGAACACAGTAAAAAATTCACAATATCTCATTACTAACTTAAATATCGAAAAAAATCTCATCCGATCTCGATCTTTTGTGCATGTGCACTCAAAACCAAATTAGACTAATTTGATCAGCACTAATATATATATATATATATATATATATATATATATTCAAATGTTAGTCTTATATAATATGTATATATTAAATTTAAATTTAAGTTACTAAGGTTGAGTTGTTAGGGATTTGATAATACTATATATAAGGATTTAAATGTTAGTCATATACATAGTTACAATGGTTTGATAGACATGTTATCATGAATTAACAGCATTCTTCCCTCTTTTCATAAGCATCTGTTTGATATTTGCAGAGAGATACGCTCAAGCAAAAAGATGAAGGTCATATCTACTATTCCAAGCTTGGAAAGGCTGTTTATTTGTATCACTCACCAAAGCCAACGTAGATTGCAGTAGGTATCACCATGAGAAGGCCTTGGAGCATTGATTGGCACATCATGGAGCTCACAGTAGAAACCTCATCTCACTGATATCCACCATTGTGTCGTTTCCAAGGCAGGAGGGTTTCCTGTTGAATGCCATTTGCTTCTCTCTCAGACTCTGCAACTCCTGCCTCATCCCGACAAACCATTGTCTTTTAATATTCTTTCTTGTATGCCTAAGGTTCTCAAATCCTGCTATTTGATTCATGTTGGTGCACAGCTTCCCACTAACCTCCCTTGTCTGTATCTTACTGCAGCTTTTCTCCGGTCCATACTTTGTAGGGAGAAAGAAGGCAATGGCAAGAATGCTGATCCTGTTTTGTTTGCTTTTCCCACTGGTATTTGAGAGCGATTCAAGGAACCTGCTAAGAAATGCTTCTGCAGTTGCCACTCATGTGAGTTGCTTCTATCAGTAGCTTATTGAAGATCGACTCTTTGTGGTAGACATCAACAGTTAAAGAGAAGCTAGTGCTTCAATTTCTCTGTTTTTTGCTTTCTCTTCCCTAAGCTTTCTGCATGCAGAGACTAAAGATTTAGAACACATTCTCACAGGAAGCGAAGCTTGTTTTGCAGTATCAGCAAGACATGGCCCTCTAGTCTGATGATGGTGTTGCATTTCTTTGTGTTGGTCACATCACAGTAACTATTGTGTTGAAGAAATAGAAACTTAGATATGATCTAAATTTTCAGGAATATCTTGAACATTTCTTCTAAATGTTGCAAAATCCATCAAATGCAAAGCATGCCTTCTTCTGATGCAATCGAGTGATGATATTTGTGCATCTAAATTAAGATTTTTCTCATGTAATAGTGGTTTGGTGTATATCTTCTTCCTACAAAAAAAGATGACAAAGTGCATTTTTTTCTTTATCATGATAACTTTAAATATTTCACCTGCTTTGTTGGCCAGGAAGAAAGCATGGAGAAAGAAGAATGCAGAGGAGTGGGCAATGGGGGTTCCACTACTGGTGGGAGATGGATGGAAGCTCATACTAACTACATATGCACCCAAGACTTGGGTCCTTGATTTCTTGTCCAATTCATTTCTTTTTCTTCTCTCTCTTCTCCTTTCACTGTGGTAGCTTAGAAGACATCTGTTGTGGAGTAACTTGTTTATATTTTTTTAATGATTATTGATTTTCTTTAAGCTAAGTCTTTGTTTAGACTTCTCTTCTTCTAATGCACATATCATCATTGGAAGTCAAACAAAAAATATGTTAAGATAATTGGGAGAGAAGTAAATTGTAACATAGGAAAAGTGGAATCACACACTCAATTTCCATTGCCAGTCTTCTCATCTGCAAACTAATCACTTGAATCTTTGGTTTCTTCCAGTTTCTGCCAAGAGTAGCATGATTTTCATTTAGAAATAAATACTTCCTTCTGCCTTTTAGAATTTCTTGGAAAAGTAAAATTCTTTCACAAGATGAGAAATACTAACCCAATGCATGAGATTCCAATTTCTTTGACTAACTTATTCAATCAAATCATGAAGATATAATTTAAAGTTAGAGAAGATTATGCTTAAACAAAGGTTTATAGTTGATGCCAAACATGAAGAAGCAAATTTGGAGCATTTCCTTCATCCCTTCCTTCTTAAACCTACTGAAGAAAGCCATTACTGTATCTTACTTTTCTGACCATGTTAATATCTCAACTTATGATGCTAAATGCTCTTTGACAGTATTGATTTATATGATTGTCAAAACCTTCTGCCTTCTTAGGCCATAGAAATTGCAATCACTAGACAACAATATTCTTCTATAACTTGGCTTTCTTTGTTGTTCATTAAAGATATGGAGAATATATACATGAAGTGGCTATGAAGGGCAACTGGAAATGGGAGCTTTAAGCTGAGCATATTCTCATGGCTAACTTTGTATGCAGAACTAAAAACACTGTCATGAGGGATTAATCTAATATAAAGAGATAAAAAAAAAGCAGAGGACCACAGCAGAGCAATCTGTTCCTTCACAGATATGTTTACCTGCTCAAACTCTTGGAATCTCTAACAATCATCTATATTATTGATGTGCATGGTTGATAAGAACAAGTTGGTGTTATCCAAAGTGATGAATCCTAATTATTTAAGCCTGATCATCTTTCATGACCTTGATTTCAATGATTATTTTTCTTACTAAGGAAAAAGTCAATCATAATGTTTCACAACAGTGCTCAGTAATTACTTAATATTGATCTATATTTTGGGTAAATTAAGATTCGATACACAAAGTCTAGTGATTAACATAAATATTCTTTCTTATCTAAAAATGTTAATCATCACATATAAATAAGAGCCTCTCAACTGTGGTATGAGATTCAAAACTTTTTCTTTTCAACTCTTATCTTGAACCGACTTGAGCATTATAATAATGTACATATTGGATACACTATATTAAGATGGGAGAGACTTGTTTTGATGTTCTCAAAATATAATTATTTTTACTTCGTAATAAGAATCGACGATCGATTATAACACTAATATTGCTTTTATATATAACTATTACTGCAAGTTGTGTAATCATTGTCAAACTTCAAAGAAACTTTTGTTTGTTCAATAATGTTCTTGTGCGATCTCAAATTATGTGTTTTGATAGGCTAACGAGGATAGTTTACATATGTGTTCGTATATTAATCAATTTTATTTCTTTATCCAAATATTTTAACACCGTAAGAGATCAAAAATAGATTGATCCTTTACGAACGGGTATCGTCCAAGGCGATCTTTTTGACTTGGGTGATCAGAGTTCATGACAGCAAACCTTGCAAAAGATATGAGATTTCTTTAAAGCAAATAATTGTGGTGATATTTGATTCAAACCACTCCCTAATTCAAGGAACAAAGTTGTGGACATGATAGAAGCTATGGCACCAAAAGCCTCCCCACTCACTCATGTGCATGATATGGAAAGTGTCCTCACACTATCTTTATGTCATCACCATGGAGGTCACTGAGCACACAAACGCCCTCACTGCGCCGCTTCCCAGCGACCACATCACCATGGAATCTCCACTTTACAGAACAAGAGGCCAAACACAACTGGTGCCCTACATGTCCTTGAACTGATAACATGACTGCATAAATAGGATGAGAGAACATGTGCATGGAACAGAACAAATGATGATAGGACTTGCAAAAGGAGCATTAATGGTGGAGTCACTTTCATGCAGGAATAGATGCATTCCAAGTTTGCAGATAAACTTCTTACCATGAAGCCAAGGAGGAGGAGGAGGAGGAAGAGGACAACTCTTATATCTCTTCAGTATGAGTATATATGCTTAGTTACTGCACTTTGAGATACTACTGATATGGACAATGGAGTTTGCAAGAGATCACTGCACTGGCCATCTTGTGGTGCTATTGCCTCTCTTATCCATCTGTCTTGTTCCTTAAGGCATCTGCCTTTTGCAGTACAGGTTTTGGCCTTCAAAGTGTTCCAATCATGTACTTCCACTTGAGTGGTGTGTGTTATTTGTTTGGATATGTAGAAAGAGAGGAGGGGGCACTTCATATGTGAGCTCAGTAGGAGGTGTTTTCAGCTTGTTTGGGATGCCAAGGTTTCATTAAATACTATGCTACATATCACAACAACATAAGAGAGGATGATATTACATTTAGCATTTTTATAATATTATTCTAAAATTTAATTTACTTTCTAATTAGATAAGAGATTGATTTGAGAGTCTTTTCTTGCCATTCTATTATCCCTTATTCATCAAATAACCATTTGAAATTACATACACATGCATCTACTTCAAGATGTTTCTCAAGGAGAATGCTTAGAGAGAGAAAACACATGCTAGATAAATATAGCATGCCAATTCACTCTTTATATTTAGTATTTACATATCACTTTCTACAACATGCCAATTCACTTTTTTACATGTCAAAACAACATAAGAGAAGCTGATATTAAATTTAGTATTTTTTATAATTTTTTTTTTAACTTTAGAAAAGAATGTTTGAATGTTAAAATAAACTTTTCTAATTAGAGAAGAGATTGATTTGGGAGTCTTATCTTGTATTCTATAACTTATTTGTCACATAACCATTTGAAATTATATACACATGCATCTAGTTGAAGATATTTCTTGAGGAGAATGTTTAGAGAGAGAACAATAGATAAATATAACATGCCAATTCACATGCAAAAGATCAAGGTATTTACAGAACTTAATTGCTCAGAGTCAAAGAGATCAGACACCAAATCATGCGTATTGATTGATGGTGGAGGAGTATTGTACTAATTAGCTTCCTCAGAACAAAATTGTGGGGTGGAGAAGAAGGATGAGACAAAGCTGATGGATCTCTCCATGCGATATGACGAGGAAATAAATTTATGAGGCTTTTATGCTCGTTGCTCATCGCATGCAACGGGAGGGAGGGGCTTGGCGATGAAGGTGGGGACGTCGTCGCCGGCCATGACGACCACGACGCGAGGTTCCATTTCCAGAGGGACGACCACAGGCTTCTCGGCCGTGCATGGCGGCGTGGAGTCTTCCTCGGACGACTTGTGGCGAGTGCAAGCAAGCACGAGGAGTGCTACGGCGATGAGACACATCATTGCTGCCACACCTCCGAAGAGATACGGGAGTGGAGAACGCCATGGCTGCAGTCCTGAGGAGGGGGATGATGAGCTCGCTGCAGGCCTCATTTATCTCACCGCCCCCTTTGTCTCTGCTGGTGAGTAGATGATGAGCTGCCGGTTGAGGTGAGACGCTATGGGCGAGAGTCTTTATAGATGGAAGGAGAGAAGAATGAAGAAGCCAAAAGTTGGTCGTCTGCTGGTGGGATGTGGAAGCCACCAGAAGCTCAATGGCCCCACTGAGAGAGAGAGAGAGAGTGAGAGAGAGAGAGAGAGAGAGAGAGACTGGCTTAAGGTTTGGAATGGATGGTGCAGGAAGCAGATGGCATTTTTGTTGTGGGCTCGAGGAGACAGCCATGGCGATAGCTGAAGCTGGTGATTGCTTATGCTGAGTCTTCTCATCTTCCATGGCATTCCTTGACATGTTGGAAGAAGACAAGAGCCAAGTCCTGTTGACTGCTGCAAGCATGGTGTCAAGCAAGTCTCAGCTCACTACCTCCTTATTAGACATCCATCGGATCAACAACAACTGCCTCAAAGCATAAGCATCTCGATCTGGAACAAAGCCATCATCACTATTTCCTGCAATAAAGCCAAATCTATCATTGGAGTTATGATCCAAACTCCATCATAATTAATTTTAATCTACTCTGCTCTTTCCCATTTGACTCTGTGAGAGAGTCACTAACCTTTGATTGAATTCATTAAGTAATGAAAACACAGTTTTAGTAAATTTAGAAGAAATAAAATATAATTATGTATTAAGTTAAAAAATAGAAAAAAAATATGATAGACGAAAAAGGGAAGACAATAACAAAAAAAAATGATAGGCTTTTCTTTTCTTCCATCTTTGCGATATACAAACTTGAATGCTCTCGAAAAATATCAAATGTTTCTAACTATAAATAAAGAGTTGAGAACATTTCAATCTTTCAAAGGTTTAATAGTTTAATTAGTGAACCGAATTAATCGAGACTCCACATTTTTGGTGGCATATAGTCTTAAGATTTACTCACACCAGATTAAACTCTGCCTATATCAATTGCATGTCAAATGTTATATAAACCATTTGCCATCATCAAATCCACAAACAGATAAAAGATCTTCTAACAAGAGCCAATTATCATACATTTATCATCACCTCCAAGTTCCAAACCAGAGGTTTAAAAGACTCAAATACAAGAAAATATCGATTAGGTGTACAAATTAGAACAGACTGGGGTAGTCAAGAGTTAAAAGATGAAAAGATACTCTTGGATGTAATTTTCAGCATAACTGTTAGAATAGAATATAAACAGCATAACTAGCAAAAACTGATTGTGATATCTACCATCTGATAATGGATTCAGATGGATCAATCTTGTTTGTCAAGCATAGCACTCCAATAATATGTCTGATGCACTTCCAAGTTCCAATATCAGGATTGAGTCAATGAGCACTTGATTTGATTCTTCGTGCTACTTCAACCAATGATAATCTACCCATCGATCACCTTCGGATTTGAAATATCAATTTCAGACAACTTGAGTCACCACCAAAAGGCGATTCAATGCAAGAATATGAGGAGTCTGAAACAGGAAATCACCAACAGAAAGTGGCTTTCGACGTAAAGGTTCATTACGATGTTTAGCTCATTGGTGACCATGCACTTCTCTTTGTTTAACAGTCTGGGTTGATAGTGATTAACGTCGAATTATATCTGAACACAAAGATGATACATCAGCATATAGTCACATTTAAGGTAAAGCATATCAGCTTTAGGCATAATTCAGGAACAATAAGAAATGACAGATTAGAATATAGAGTAAAAAAAGCTACCAACACATAAATCAGCATTTGAGGAATATATTTTTCTTTAAAGAATTTACTACTATCTTCGATGAAGAACATGGAACAGAAGATTTATACACACTAACAGAATAAAGACAGAAAAAATATAAATCATACTAAAAAATCTTTCTTGCAGTTCTTCCACCAGAAATGCTCAGATTTCTGAGGAGACTGAATGACTACAGTATCTAAGGACTGCCATACCTGCCAACTAGGAAATGCCAAATATCCATCAACAATATAATGTAAAAATTCTCTCCAAGATGAAACTCTTAACTCCAATTGATTTTTTCTAGTCCAGAAAAAGAAGAAACAGTTACAGTCCACTCAACAAATGAAGAACAAAAAAAAAGAAAAAGCTTTGTGGATGACCTTTGTTTTCCATACAATACGTGGCAGTAGAGATGTAGCTAAGCTCCATATGGTTAATTTCTGCCATTTTATGTCAGCGTCAGATGCACTACAGCTGCATCGACAGGTCGATAAGCCATGCATCATGTCAGCCGGCATGAATGATTCACCTGCCCTTAGGGCTTCTCCAACACCTAGCTCCATCTTCATACGATAAAGAAGAGGTGACCAATCTTTGTTTTGGCATGAACAATTTATCTTTCTTCTATTTCACGCGAGCTATCTTCTGAGTATGCAATGGCTGGAGAATCAAACCAACGAAAAATGGCAAAATTATAGTGAATTAAGGGGAGCTGGCCTCTCGTCTTTGCCATGACTTTGTATAAATGACTTGTCAAAATCTCAAGTGAATGATTTCATTCTTTAACAAATGGATGTAAAATTTTATGGAAAACTGGTTCCTTTACGAATCACTTTCTGATGTGTTTGATAGGAAACAAAAAATATATATTTGTGAATATACCTGTGATGACTGAACAAATTGGTTCCTTTACAAATCACTTTCTGATGTGTTCCTTTACAAATTGGTTCACTTGCAAATAATTCTACACGAATGCAGATATATTTGTGATGATCATCACAATGGCTAATGCCCAAGTCATAGAAACATGTAGAGATCTATCTGAGACGTGTTCTAGAGCAAACCGAGAGACTGGAGTACCTTAATGATGACCGAACAGAGAACAGACACAGATCTCGTGCCTGATCAATTCCGACTGCTCCTGGGATTGAATGATCACTTCATTGCATAGGTTCCATCACCTGATGATGGAAATCAAGCAACATCAGCAAGATCACAGGTCAAAACATCCAGGAAAAAGAAAAGAAATCCAACAAAGTACCAAATTATAATGTAGCATCGAACTGTTACATTTTGACGTGATCAGCAAAACCTAATCGATTAAAAAAAGATAACTTTTTTGCGTAATTTATCAAATACATAAACAAAGATGAGCATTCTACCCAAAAAGAAGGCAGACGGCACAAGGAATAGTGCGATCAGATGTGGGAGGGTTTGTTGGAGTCCAAGAAAGTCCCGAATAATTATGTGCAGTTCGAATTTTTGGAATTTCCGGGCATTAACAAAGCATAACGATTAAAAAGAATCATTTTTGGGCGCAATTCATCGAAACGTATACAAAGAAAAGAAATGCACCCAAAAGAAAGGCAAACCGAACTAAATAAGAGATCGATCACATCAAGATTCGACATTTAGTAGTGCGATCAGATCTGGCCAAAAGAGCTGAGATGTGGGAGGGGTTGGTGGAATTCTTATCGAAGAAAGTCCCCAGTTGTTATGTATAATTTGAATCTTTGGATTTTCATGGGATCAACAAACCTAATCGAGTAAAAAGAATAATTTCTCTGGCGTAATTCGTCGATACATATTTACAGAGATTATAATTACACCCAAAAAAGAGGCAAACCAGACGAAATCAGAGATGGATCGCGTCAAGATTCAACAATCGACAAGCAAAGAGTAGTTCAATCCGATCTATGGCGAAAGACCTGAGATGCGGAAGGGGTCGATGGCCTTCTCGCGGACTTCGGCGACGACCTCGCAGACCTCGGGACCGCTTCTGGTTCGAACACCCGTCTCCGTCGCCGTTCAACGCTGGAGCCCCGATTACCGAGTATCGATATCATGTTCTTTCGCACCCTATCATGCACCTGTGTCATAGTTGGAGAGCATATGGGGCCCACAACCCATACAAGGGCGGGTGGCAGAGGTGAGTGTAAGAAGCGTCGCCAAACGAACATCTAACTTTTCTTTTATAGGTTTTTAGAATTTTATGGGCAGATTAAATTTAGAAATATTTTTTTTTGAAATAAGTTTTAATATGACATATAAACCCCATCAAATATTGTTAATCTGTTTATCGTGCATTAAAAAGATTAATGATCATTTAACCAAAGGAAAAGTCACTACTATTTATTGGACACTATTTGTTTTTATCTGAGATTATTTTTATAAATGATAAAAAAATTCATGAATCAAATCTAATTAAAATTAATTTTTTTATGTATATAAGCTGTGATCGATTATAAATAGAATATAGATTAGTTTGATTTTGAATATAACTAGTTTACTTGGACTAAATCAATTCAAAAATTTTCAGAATATATAAAATATGATTTTTTTTTAAAAAATAATTATGATAATTTAATTATCGATATTTAAGATTTTTTTAATTAATATATGATCAAGTAACTTTATCAATAACCAACCCAAACTTCTACAAAATCACAAGACATGGTTCAAAAAAATTAAAACCATGAATATGAGGGTGTCATCCAATTAAAAAAAATCAGTAATGTTTTCTTTGACAAAATGCTCAAATTTTTTAAGGTAAATTTCTAAAAAAAATATTTTAAAAAATCTCAATTAGCGCTCCAACTTTAAAAAATTTTCATGGAGTATTTTTTAAAAATAATGATATTATCCCTATTGATCATCATCTCCATATAGCATCATTGCCTTCACCTAGGCGACGATGGACGGAGAGACATCTCATATATCTTTGTTATCACACCCATTTTTCCTTATGCGAGGGTCATAGACCAGAACGTTGGGCATAACTCCCTCTTTTGCTCATAATTTTTTCATCTATTCCTCTGTTGTTTGGTCACTTTTACGGGCAAGGACAATGAGATGGATTCGATAGGAATCGATAATGTTTATAGAAATAAAGACGGATATGATAGAATATACAAGAGAGAATATAGGAAAGGATAATTTTTTTTTTTTAAAGCTGAGGACATATTTAAAAGTTGGGACGTTAAAATTTATCAAAAACTAAATAATTTTCCGAAATTTCATCTAATATTTTATAAATGTCACATGACAGTGAATTAATTAGGAGAACGGACACATAAGCCACATTGGGTTTTGGAGCACAACGGATTTCCGTACACATAAGCAAGCGGAGAGAAAGAGCGACGCAGATATGCTGACGATTCAGATTCCGGGCGGCTCGAGGTTTGCTTCGTTTTCTGCCCGACACCGGAGGAGAGGCCTTTAAAAACCCCTCGTCATCTCTCCTGCAGCAGCAGCAGCAGTGAACCTTCTCCTGCCTTCCTTCTTCTCTGTCCTTTTTCAGTCCGAGTAAGAAAGGGTTTCCCCTGCAGCTCTCTCCGAGGAGTCTCATGGAGGGAGGGGTTGGCGCATCTAGGCCGCACTTCGTCAAGGCGTTGATCCCCGGGTTCTCTAAAAGGATGGTATGCTCTTCTCGTGGGATCCCACTGGAAAGAGAATATAAAACAAAGAATGTATATTTTCTTTTGGTCAATGCATCAGAAGTTTCTTCATTTCTGAAACAAGAAAAAAAGAGCATTTTTCATGGTAGATGATGATTCAGTACCCTCGACACAAAAAGAAATCTTGTAGTTTGCAAAAGAAAAATGAAACTTCAGAGATCACAGATTAATTTCCCTAAAAAAAGGAAACAAATATTGCAGATTAGCATATCTTTTAGTATTTCTACAGGGTAGATTGAAGAATCATAGGTGAAATCACAAGAACTCCAACCCAAAGAATCATAGTTTTTCTCTCTTTGGAGGAAATCAGAGCATGATAATCTGGTGCTCTTGAATCAGTTGCGATTAGTGCATCAGAAGAAATAGTTAGGTTTAAAGAATGATGTGAATGATAGAATCTCTACTCATATTTTGATTGAAGGTCTGGGTGACTGTGATGGTGAACTCTTCTAGAGCCTGGATGCATGTCAGCCAGCCACTAGTAAAAGTTGATGAGTTTAGATTGTTCCCATAGTTGTCAGATGTCATGATCAAATGCAAATGAATCCATAGTCTGAACCAATAATTTTGTAAGTTCATCAAGCATCTACCAAAAGGATACCTATTCTTTGTATAAAAGGCAAAATACATAAATCATCTACCCATAAAAAATATATTAAGCTTCTAGCACAGAGGATGGGCAAAAAACGGGAAAAAAAAACATCAATCATCTGCTATTAAACATTGAAACACCTGTCACTGCTCCTGAAATTTACTCGTTCTATTGGAGAAAGCCTACTATGATACTGCTGTTGTTAGGGTATTATGACTTCTTCTTCTTCGTCTTCTATGACGTTATTCTTTTTGTTCTGCTTCCATTTATCTTCTGGTGCACTTTTATTTGTCATCGGTCACACCCTTCCTGGCATTGGCAATTATAACATATAAGCAATTTATATGTTAGATTAATCCTGCACATTGAGTTACTTTGTTCAGTTCCATATTTAGCTTTCTTCAGTTCTGATACCGGTATATATGCTGATAATTGTGCTGGTCCAAATTATGGCACAATGTGTTCTTCAACACAAAAAGAACTCTGTAGCAACATAACTTTTCACTCTTACATTGCAGCTGATTCCTCGTCACTTCACCGAGCGTCTTGCGTGTGAGAACCATGAAACGGCCACCATTCTAAGCCCTCTTGGCAAGTTTTGGCATGTTAGTATCGAGAGAGATGGGCATGATATGTACTTCGGTAATGGCTGGAAGGAATTTACTGAAGCCCATGACTTGTGTGTGGGTTACTTCCTGGTGTTCTGCCATGAAGGCAACATGGTTTTCACTGTCAAGGTTTTTGATTGGAGTGGTTGTCTTAAGGAGTATAATGAGATTGCAGGTGGATTCTCAGAAGAAACAAAAACAACAGTCGAAGAAGATCAAGCCATTGATAATGCATCAAAGAGTGAGTTCATACTTGATACTCCTTATCGGTGTTCTCATTCTGATCTATCTATTTATCAGCTCTCTCTTTATTGGAATGTATCAGGTGATATACGGAAGGGAGTAGATTCTGATAGCATAACAAGTAAGTTAAAGACTGATAATTTAGAATGCTCCGATGAGGAGGAGGAATCTACTCCATTTTGAGAAGATAGATATACCTTGTCATCTCCAGTACAAGGCAATGGTAAGTGTTTGATATCTGCCTAGCTATTGGACTCGGTGAAGCTTTAAGCATCTCTAACAATGATATGTTAATGCAGGGTGTTCTGTAAGCTTGCTGTATGGTCTCAAAAGGAAACATGAAATTGTGTTAGTAAGACGTAAAATCTTTGGCTCTCATCCTGGTCCTCAAGGAGATAAAAAAATGGGGAAAGCATTGAGAATATTTGATGGATGCTTTGTTTTGTTTGGTCTTGTATCCACCTATATCATCTTCTCCGTTTCTGCCTTCTCTGAATCATATTTGAATTGAATGTAAGACATGAGAACATCTCATCATTCAGCAAAAGTTGAGAGAAATGTAGTTGTGGCAATGTTTCCTCTTTACCATGTGAACCGGCTCTTTATGCGTCCATTCAAATGCCCTCTTCCTTGCAGTCTCGGTGCCTGATGACACTCTGCAGGTACTTTCTTTTCACTAGCTTTAGCTCCATCTTTGTTTGCTGAGATCAAAGAACAGCTTCCCAAGCTTGAACAATCATTGCCAATCACCATGTAACACAAATGAGGAGGTCATGCATTCAATCATGACAAGAAAAAAAGTATGGAGAGAAAGATCCTCCTAATGAATACAAGAGCATGTCGATATAATTAAGATAAAACAAAAGCCATTTTTTTACACCTGAGTGTCCCAAGCATGCTCTACAGGAAGTGATGGCTTCTATAACTAAAACTGCACGAGCAAATGCTCAGCCAGTGTAAAGAACTTATTCCGACAGAACAAGTATCTTTATGTGGAAGAAGACCAAAGTAAATTGGAACCCACAGAATAAGAGGAGGAAACAGGTTACTTTCGTTCACTGTAACGCAGAATGCCATGTACGTCCACTATGCCTGGAGGAAATACTGGATCATTTGCAGCTCTTACTGCTACCTTCGCAACGGCGGTAACATTCACTGGAGGTGTTAAGAGAGGACCAACAAGTGGGAGGCGATTGAGTGGTTTGGCATGCTGGAGCACCTGCAGAGCACATAACCATGTCATTTCATGTTTTGGTTTCCATCCACATCACAAATGGAAAGATGATGGGATGTACCATCTCCAACGGTGAGCCGATGAGTCCTAGAGGTATCTTCATACTCCCAACTTGGCGAGTCCCATATATAAAACCTGGCCGGAGAATTACCCCTGTATGAAACAAATTTTGGAGGATTTTATGGCTGCGGTAAGCTTCTAATATGAACATGCAGAGTCTGCCGGGTTTATCCAGAAGTCAACATCACATGCAGAATAAGTAAATCCTTGAGACATACATTATCAGTTCAAACATTTATTTCTGAATTAATGCAACTAAGAATAGGAAGGCTAACCTCCATATGTAAACTTTGTCAAAAGTTCTGCTTCAGCAGCTCTCTGTGCCATAAAAACACTTTAGTTGATGTGAGAAGTACAGCATATTGCATTAAAGCACTCATAACTAATTGGATAACTCTAAGGAGAAGCTCACATATAATTAAGCAACCAGTATTTCTCAAGATGTTTCTCATCAGGCTGTACTAGGATGTGTGTTCCTCTTTCACAAGTTTTTACATGTGCAGCTCAAGTATATTTTTTTTACATGTATATTTTTCTCAGTTGGTTCAACTCAAGTTTTGGTCTAATACTATAATCAGACACCAGTCATTTTATTCTGCAATTTCTTTTAGGAAATTCCACAATTTTCACAGCAGTGTTTGTTAATTAATATAAATGGATAAGGTTTGAGTCATCTTATACTACCACTTTAAAGCTCCTGATAAAGCAGAAAGATATATTTGACACAATTAATCATGTTCATGTTGGTCTTCGTTAATTGTCAGATTGGGAAAGGCTGATTAACAAACTAAAGCATGCTTCACCAGAAGAAAGAATAGATCTGTAGTAGGCAAAATAATTAATTATTTACAACTAATATTAAAAAGATACTAAAACAACGAAAACATTTACCTCGAGATTCATTAATTATATAAAGATGAAAATTTCATGATAAAATAATCATGGATTTTTAAACAATGATTGCCAAGATGATCAACAGGTATTACCATGGATAAAAATATCGATGCTAGAAGGTACCAACATACACCACGCTTAACCCATGCTGGAGGTGCTAACATATGGTATGTCATTTTTGGGCCATGCCGACTGACAAAAGGGCATGCCAATAGGCACATCATGAGATGAAGGGTACCAATATCCTCATGTTATGAGACAAAAATCCTTGAAGTTTGCATTCTTTTTAATAGAAGAAAGAAAAAACAGACACACCTTTCCCTCGTAATACCCTTGCAGAAGATAATTTACCAGACCAAAATCAGCAGCCGAAATATAAACAAATCTTTTTACACCTGCTCAAGAAGGAAGGAGTCGGTCAAACCAAGTTCTGGCTGGCACCATACAAGAAAAAAAACTAAGAGCATTAAGCATTCACAATAATGTCCTGCAATGAGGCAACCAGTGCCAAGCATAGTGAGAGTAAATACTAATGCTCTGAAAAAAGGGCAAGTAAATAAAGATACTACTTGTTGCAGAATAGTGAATATATAATTGGGTTGCAATAACCATGATAGCAACCAGGCTCCTTTATCAGGATAAACCTTACATGGCCCAGTATTATTGAGTCAAACATTTGAAAAGAAATAGACAAGAAGTGTGCAGGCAGAACTTCTTCCTTAGATGAGACATATTTGTAACTTTGTCCAGTAAAATTGTAATTTTCTCAAAATGATATAAGCTTATCGGACATAAAGCAGACATAAATGAGGATAGTTCTCCCAAAGAAAGCATAACAAATTTTGGCAACAGAAGCTGATTGAAGCCTGCTTTATTATTCCCGTATGCAGAATGATATAGATATCAGAAGCACTAAACAAAGATTGTGCATGTTGATACAAAGTATCTCCCCGACTAAATCTGAAAAGCAGATATTATGAATTTATGATAAGGAACTCTGGCTCCTAAAGTGTAACAGAACATGAAAAAATTCATACTGATTAATAATTATACAGAAATACAGCATAGTTTGGCAACTAGCTAATCATCTAGGTTACTTATTAAATTCATGTCACTTATTAAATTCATATCATAGTCTTCAAACATTAAATTCCTCAAAACAGTTCTTTTTTTTATTCATCTAGGTTGTTTACTCAGAAATCTATGATTACTGAAACTAAAGAAACAATTCAAGAATATTTGTTACCAAAGAATAAAATCCAGAAGATAAAATGTTATACCTTTTTCAGCAGCAGCTCTGATGGCATTGATGTTTGAAGTCCCATTGATCTTGTACATATAAGAATTTGATCCAAAGCCTCCAACACAAGATATCTGCAAGAGTTTTTCTTAAATTTACACTGATAGTGCAAGAGCTAATGTGATTGATACAGCTCTAATAATCTACAAAGGCATAAATTTATACACCACAATTTCAATTTCCAAAAAGTACATGATCAGCCCCAATATCTGTACACAAAAAGGTATACAAGGTAAACTAATTTCAAGCAATAATTACTCATGCCACCCATGTTGGCCAGTGTCTACCATAACAAGATGACGTTGAACACCAACACAAACGAACATACACAGGCGTGGATTGGCACAGTTCCTGCACCATTTGGCATGCCTCTCATGTTGAACTCAACTGAATAGGAAGATTTATGACAGAATGTCATGGCTTGGACTACTGATACTAGACAAAAACCATTTTGAGCTCACTCATTTATTTTTTTATCAACACTGTTTCAGTCTGCTGACATTTAGATACTATTGCCAGTACATATATGAAAGGACCAGTTGGCACCAAGATGACTCCCTAGCCGTGGGAAATTTACAAAGGCTCCTGATTAATTCACTCAATTGAGCCAATCGATGGCATAGTAGGAGTTCAAGTAGCTAAAGGCATCATGCACCCACGTGCCAAATCTTTAACACCGTGTGAGGATGGATTGAAAACTTATTGACAATTCAAGTCTCTTGAACTGATTCCTCATTATTGTTGATTCCTACCATGGATTCAATCATTTATTATTTGATAACTTTCCAAACGCATTAAATACATAAGGTAACTTAGGTTACTATTTAAAATGTCATGTTAATGTGCTCAACTAAATGGATTATTGTTTCTTTAATTTATGGTTTACTTCATCTCATTTTGGTTTTTTCCTAATCATATTATCACTTAAACACATGAATCATGATAAAGTCTTTAGTGGCATCTTTATCAGAATATGCAATACTGAAAAGATGTTATTTTGCACATATATGAGCATACCCCTACTTACATAAGACAAGGAAGACAAGCATAGGAAGAAAATTGAGGTTGTAAAATTATTGAACATTCACTTATGAAGTGGATAATCTCACATGGAGGTGTGGGATGGTAAGATCAGATGTAATATGTGAAGGCCCATCCCTGGCTTAAGCTTTTGAATTTAGTGGTGCCTCTCATCTGTGAATCCACACTTCACCTGCTGATTGTTTGGGACCAACCTCAATTTTTGTAAGAAAGCTGAAGAATCGGCTTGGATGACCAAAAGATTACTGGTGATTGGAGTAAAACATGGCACACAAAAGAAAAAAGATGGCAGCAACTGACATACCAAGAACCAACGCCAAGCCAAATGGAAAATCCTGGTGTCAGGCCATGTCAAGGGCCACATAAGAGGAACTTGCATGGATGACTCACACAGGGGAGCTTGTCACATTCTGTAAAATGAATAACCACACAGAGAGGTGCAGGACGATAAGGGGACACAACATGAGAGGGACCATAACTCATTGGTGTAAGCTTTTGAGTGGCGGTGTGTAAGAACTACAAACCCCAATTGCTGCAAGCCATTTTCAATGCAGCTCTCTCCTAGAACCAATTTTGTAAATCACATTATTTCACATGCCAGAAAACCTGTCAAAGACCTGGCATGACTAATGAAGAATGAAAAGGTTTGAACTTAAGCTCTCGGCATTTTCGTCAAGTGATGGAAGCATGAGCAGATATTAAAAATCAATTTGTCCACTACAACGTTCAGTATAACCTAGTACGTCTAGGTTATTTTTGGGGGGGGGGGGGGGAGCGGCGTGGGGGCGTTTCATGACTACCACAGTTGTTGCAATCATCATGGTATCTACAAGTGATAACCTCATAGCATAAAAATGAGCTTCATCAAACACCATTAGCAGAACAATCAAAGTTTGGGATATTTTTTGGGAAGGAAAATGTGCTCTATAATGCATGAACATAGCCCATCATATGAAATGCATAGTTATTTTAACATGTACTTGTACCAGAGGAAGCCACAAGTTTGCATTGTTATATTCTAGAAGTTCAATCATTTTGCATTGGAAAAACAAAACTGTAAGTAATCTCAGGCTCAAAAATTCAAGTTAAAAAGTATATAGAACAAAGACTTAAATAAGCAACACATACCACAGCAGTCACATCATTCATAACATCCTTCCAAGATTCAGGTACGAGAAGACTTCCTGTCAAATAGAGATTATGTCTCAGACAACTGAACCAGATGTAATTTGAGAGGGCAAATTCTTTTTTTCTTTGGTTCCGAACCTTGTAGCCATTCAACTTTATCAGCCCAAGATTCACGTATTGATGACCTTCCAGATCTGAGGAACAAAAATTATCAAATATGAAGTTCTTCTCATAGACAAGCTAAATCTTAGATTTACTAACATGGGACTAGAATGCTTAACATAAATTGTAGACAAGATAAAAGCATGTAAAAATCTGAAATGATTATGAGAAATTTAAGTCAATACAACATATCAAAAAGGAAAGACAATATCAAAGTAATAAAGTAGAAGGTTTTTAATTGATTACTAACTTCTAATAGTTTCAATATATGAAACATAAAAAACATCCAGGACTTTCCATTAGTTTTGAAAAGATTGAGGTGGATTTGGGGTTATTCTGGATTATAAATGACTGCATTCACTCAACAATAAATAATGAAAATTGGACATGTATTAAGCATTCAATACGTGACATCCAGTTGCATTCCGTTCAACTACAACCACACAATTTTCTTAAACTTCTCAAGTGTCTCAATGTTACAAACTGAATCCTCTTAACAAAATTAACTACAAACTGAGCCAATAACTTCAAAAAAATCAAGCATACGACAAGAGGTAACTTACAAAATAAGTTCTAAGTTATCCACTGAACCTCTTATGAAAAAACACAAATTACAAATTGATCCAGTTATATCTGACAAATGAGTGTTTTTGTCTCTGTGTTGCTACTTTAAATAGGAGAACTTTTTTTGTGAGCAGCAGATATCTCCTTTACAAAGGAAGCTTTCAACATATGATATTTCATGTTTTTAGATCTTTATCGGAGAACATGATTACAAATAAGACCAAGTTTTCAGTTGAGCATAGAAAAATTCTCAAGAACATGGAGAGGAGCTTAAAAGTGATATTGTACTCACTAAGTGACACACATGAAATAGCAAAGTTGATCGTATCATTATAAATGCATAAGGTGGCAATCATGTGATAAAAAAACTGCATCACCAGAAAGCTCTGTTTTCTCACTGTTGGGAGAGTGCCTGTGCTTGTTACTTCTGTGTATGAGACACATCAACCATGATGACACCACATAAACAAACATGGTCATAAGCAAGCTTTAAAAGCTGACCAAACTTAGCAAATAAAGGTGGTCGAGTTACTCAACCTTTGAAAAAGGAGGTTATTCACTCAAATTCTGTTTGTGACACATTTTCTTGTCACAAACAGAGTTCACATAGTAAGTAACAAAATTAGCCAGACGAGAAGCATGTATCCATCACCAAAAAAATTTCCTCAGAGAATCACTATTCCAGGAAAGCTAATGGAGAGGGTGATTAAACACATACATTATGCAACAATGAAAGTTCCTTAATCAGGAAACTTGGCTCATGAAAATAAAGTACCTGATCACATTAAAATAAAATGAAGCTGTAAGCATAGAGAAAGCATAAGTGTGCTTTACGTGTGATGTGATAAAGAAAGATTACTTGAAAACCTAAAAGGATAAACTACCCTAGATGCCAAGACTACCACTGCATGTGTGGAAACAAAGCACCTGCTAAGACTGGAAACAGACAAGCCTTGATCCAAAGCCTCTTTGCAAACATGTGAGCCAACAAATCCATTACCACCCAATACAAGGAGCTGCCATTAGAAGCACAGAAATGGTAAGAAAAAACTAGCACAAACATAATATTCCTAATAAGCAAGAAACCAGTTGAGCATGCAATCCAACATCACCTTCTCTGATGGAGGAGGAGGTGCTTTTACCGTTTCTGCTTCCTCCACTTTAAGAGGCTCATCTACACGATTTGACTCGGTTGACAACAATCTTCCATAGTTCAACAAACCTGAGGAACTGTTGACATTTATCAAGAGGAGAAGGTATCAGCATCTTACCTAAACTAATTCATCCTATAAGCACAATGAAAATCTACATCATCAGTTAGCAAAAAAAGGAGGGGTTTCTAATCATATCCCATTTCAGGGCGATAACCCCTTCATTACTTGTTACATGACAAAGACCCTTCATTGCGGACTGATCATACAGTCCGCAACCGGTTTTTCTGGTACAAAGATTAGACCGACACTTGCAAGTAAGTTGCTTACAGCGCGCGAGAGACGGAAGAGGGCGAATGGATCAGACGCGAGACGATGGCGCTCATTCTTGGAGCCCTAATTCTTCCTTCGTTCAGGGTTTAGAGGCGGAGAGGGGGAGGAGGGCGAGGGGACCGAGTGCGAGGCAGGCAACCCCTTCGTCGTTTGGATTCGAGATGCTTCGTGGTGATCGACCCGCGGCTGCCTTGGGCCTTTATAGTGAAGCAGCTGCTCGGGTAGTTCTGCGGCTTGATGAGAGAGTACTCGGTGTGTGGTTATCGACCGGCGTACGCGGCACCCCCGCAATGCATTCAGTTGTAGGCTTCGTGGGGCGTGGTTTAACGTGTTTCAATTGGGTTCGAATCCATATGGACACGATTCAGGGTCCAGTTTCGTGATCTCTGAAGACTCGAGGATTCGGGTGGAGTATTGGGTTGGGTTGGATTGCAATATTTATCACGGCCATCAAAGTTAATGTATGGCATCCACCATGACGAGCATTTGTAGAGACTACATAGTCACAGCATTAGGCAGCTACAAACATTCAACGAAGTATGCCAAGATGCAAACATGGGGAAAAAGAGAACGAAACCTGTCAATGAGTCGTTGAAGGTACGAACAACTGGGTCAGTCAAGTATCACAAGAACATAGAACTCAAAGAAGATCTCATTTGTAGAGACTACATAGTCACAACATTAGGCAGCTACAAACATCAACGAAGTATTTCAACCATGAGAAGATGCACACATGGGGAAAAAGAGAACGAAACCTGTCAATGAGTCGTTGAAGGTATGAACCACTGGATCAGTCAAGTATCCCAAGAACATAGAACTCAAAGAAGATCTCAGCAATGGGCTTTGGTTAACTGACCAAGGCACTTTCTCCTCCTCATTAAGTTACATGGTGAAAAGCAGAGAATTCATGAATGTATCCAAGCAACCACACATTAAAAATGAGAAGCATTTGAGTTCTAATAGCAAGGTGGGCATGAAGATCATGAACTTAGAAATGAACAGCCAATGCATGTATTCATGTCTTCGGATTCACTGCCAGCCCCATTATAGAAGCTTTACGTCGATGAAGTCAGGTCCCAAATAGGAATCGCAGAGATGTCTGACATTGAGAGAACCCTCTCTAGGACCATTTCCATTTTATCTACGAAGGGTGTTTCCACCACGAGGTGCTTCATAGCCACCTCCGGCACGAGTTGGTGTCTGCCCAGATCCATACGTTGCTTGTTGTGTCGAACTATAGGCTGCTGGAGTCTGCCTGGACCCTTGTGATGAACCATAGGCTGTCGGTGTCTGCCCGGAGCCATATGTTACTTGTTGTGTTGAACCGTAGGCAGGTGGAACTCCATAAGATGGTGGCGCATGTGCTGACCCATAGGGAGGATTTCCTGCGACAACTGCTCCCGGAACCACACCTGCTCCTTTAGAAGCATCATATCTAGAAGCTGTAAAGGCCTCGTAACCGGTGCCCCTGTGTCCCTCGTAGCTGTCACCTCGAGCAGTATCATAGGCTGCAGCTCTTGAAGCATCATAACTCGGACCTCTAGAAGGATCATATTCAGGGCCTCTCTGGGCGGTATGTGCTGAGGCAGAACCAACGACACCACCATAAGGAACTGTACTGCCAGGACCATGTCCCTGCAATACAATTAGAAGACAACAAATAAGAGGTAGACAAACACCAGAAGTGGTAAGCCACATGAGCATGGAAAGAGTTGGAAAACTAAAAAATGCAGCAATCCAGAACCAGAATTTAAAACTAATAAACACTGAACAGGCAAAAGTTGAATTTTGTCAAGTTAAAAAGCAAGAACAAAAGACAAGGGGCCATTAGAAGTTACAATTAAACAATACAATGGAGGCAAAAGAGCCAACTGCCTCTTAGATAAACTTATAAACCATAATGATAATACCACCACAACGATTATATATACACATTCAAGCTTCCCAAAGCAGGACGGTGTGAGCCCAAATCAGACAAGTGGCTATAGTAGCATCTCAACCAAAACACTCTAGCAGTAATCCTTTTACGTGATCAAAATGCTTTCAAGTTCATGTTGCCAAATAATCACTCGCTCAATGTAGAACAGAAGCTGAGAGTAATTCTACCTCATGCAACTTAAACTCTTTCCAAACAAAAAAAAGTATCTTCAATTGCATAATGGAATAATCAAGGAAGGCACACAGCAGGGGGGGAGGGACCAAGTTAAGATGATGAACCTGAGGAGCTCCATAACCATCTTCATAAGCATTTTGTCCTATAGGCTGATGTCCAGATGCATCATTTTCCTTGTGAGTAGCAGAATTTGTTCCAAATTGCCCACCTAACAATTAAACATTAATGGAAAATTTCAAAAAAAATTCAATAAGCAAATTTTCTCATCATTAAACCAATTAACTAAGAGGCACAAAAAAATGAAAAATATGCACTTAAAGCATTGATACCACTTCTGTCAAGGTTAGTAGCATTTGTCAATTCGGCACGTAGCTTTTCTACCTCCCTCACCATTGAGACATAGTTTTTCTCCATTACTTGTAGAGACTCATAATGATCAATGCGCAGTTTCCTCTCATAATCATATGTAGCCCTACAAGATGAAGAAAATTTTAGCCTACAGAATCCCTGTATCACAAAGGTATAATCATGCTTGATCATACTACTCAATGGAGTGTTTTAACCTGCAATGTTGATAATCTTGTCTAAGAGCCTCAAGTTCAGACATCAAAGCTGGGATTTGCTGGACATCACCATGGCTTCTCTGCAGATCGTGCGTCAGCTGTTGCACCTTGGAGATTAGTTCCTGTCTTGCAGCAACCAAGCTTTGAGCTTCTGCATGTGCCTGTTGCAACTCTGCTTTAACAGGCTCAGAAGTTTTCAAATCAGCTTCCATCTTTGTGATCTTATCCATGAGCATCCTTAGCTGTTGCTCTTGCTCAGCTTGCATAACACCCATGTGGGTCTGCAATCTCTGCAACTCCTGCTGGGCAGCAGCTAATTCATGCCTTAAAGAAGAATGGGTAGCCATGAATCTTTGGTTCTCCATTGCAAGTCTTTGCATTTCCACATGTTGTGCATCAAGCTTCTGCTCCATAATCTCTGGAGGTGGCAGCATGTCAAAAGGAAATGCACCAGGCGGAGGATGGATGCCTGGACCAAATACATCTGGGTGCAACAAGCCAGGACCAGGATGAGGCCGCCGCAGATGTGGTGGTGGTATTCGACCTTTGCTACCCATATTGACCAACAGCTATCTCTTCTTACATGATAAAAGAAAATTGTTATTCTTGCCTTTTGTGCAAAAAAAAAAAGTGAGCCAAGGAATAATAACATGGAGCATAAAATAAAATCATGCTAAATGCTAAGCATTATAATCATAAACATCAAGAAATAAAATTAAACATATTCAATATGTCAATCATAGGCACATAAGACCTTCTATCACTAGCTAAATCTTTCAATTTATAAAAAAAAGGTCTTGTGATCAAGAAAACTAAGCATGTCAGAAAGCCCAACAGTCAGCACCTATTGGCCTTTCAAATTAGCATCTTAGTTTTTTTTTTTAAAAGAACACTGGAGATATTATGAATACTTTACATCCAATCAGTGATTTAAAAAGCGCTAGGGGCCAAAAGGCGCCAAGGTCCAAAAACGCCCGAGGCACTAGGCGCTCGCCCGAGCGAAGCGAGACGCTAAATTATAAAAATATATAATATAATTAATAAATATAATTATTTAAAATTTTAAATAAAAATATGCTATTAAATTAAGAAAATCTATTAACAGTATTGAAAATTAATCATTTCAAATAAACTTAATATTAACAGTATACTGTATACTGAGCCTGCTGACTGAGAAACGAGGAAGCAGCGGCGAGCGACGACAACGGGAAAGGGAGCGACGAGGCGCGAGCGGCAACAGCGGCAGCGGGAGTAGGAGCGGCGAGCAGCAGGAGGCCCGAGCGGTGATAGAGGCAGCGTTTGCGAGCAGCGACAGCGGCAGCGGCGACAGAGGCAACGTTTGCGAGCAGCGACAAGAGCGACGAGCAACGGGAGGCGACAGCGACAGCGACGAGCGACGACAACGACAACGTTTGCTAGCAGCGGCAGCGGCGAGCAGCGAGATCGAGATCGGGATCGGGAGTGGCAGCGGCAACGGGTTAGGGTTGGGTAAGGGTTATATCGGTTTAGTTAGTTCGATTGAACCAACTAACCAATCAAACTAGGACCGAACCAGACCTAAAATCCTGGTTCGGTCGCCTTGGTTTACCCAGGCGCTCGCCCGAAGCGCCCAGCGCCTAGGCTCGGGCGAGCGCCCAGGCGGCGCCTGTTTGAAGCACGCCGCCTGGGAGATTAGCGAGGCGCTTGGGCCTCGCCTCGCCTCGCCCGAGCGCCTTTTTCAATCACTGCATCCAATGGTTAGTACATGTACCAGTGGGAGTCAAATAACGAGTAATTAGATTCAATCTTGGAAGACTATAACCTTAAAGCATCATAAAGATGTGTTTAAAATATAGTGCATCTTCTTTTTGGGATGACATGATAAAGGGACCAAGCAGAACTGAACAAGCCCCTAATATTTTTCACTTTAGTGCATTCAAGTTTCAGCATCATGCCTACAACAAGAGATGATCTAGCCTTGCATCTTTCATGGCACATAACGAGTATGGTTATGGTTGGATTTATTTGTGAAAAGAGAGTAATAAGTTGGATGCCATCTACAGCTGCAAACTGCAGAGTTCCTTAAAGAGGGAATAAACCAATAAAAACCTAATACAAGGTGGATCGCCACTTACACAGGCACAGATTCAACATGATTCTAAAGCCTACCATTCAATATATATACAAATATATATATATCATAATAATAATGTACAAGTTTCAAACTAACATACTAGCGTGTATAACAGAAGTTAGACTCATGCTTTTAGAACAAAAACAGAATCGTATAACAGGTACACCTCACATACACTGAAATTGAAAAACGAGAATCATATTTGCCCTCATATCAATGAGCAACATAAAAAAAGCTTAGGTGGAATTCAGGAAAATGAATGAAGAAAAAAAACATCATCTTTTCTTTCAAGTTGTAACAAATATACATAAACTTAATTTCTAACTTTTATTGATACCACAAACAAATAAGAACTAACCACAAAACCACAGCCCATGTGAACTCTTGAGATAAATCTCTATCCCAACCCGCATTGTATAAGAAAAAAAAAAAAAGATAAAGCTTATTTTGTCTCCTTGATGACAAGGATGCTAAAAATTCCTTGACCTCCTAGGATCTAGAACCAAGCCCTGGGAAGAGACCTTTTTTTATATTTATGTAAACTTAATTAGTAGCAGCAGGAATATATAACTCAACGATCAAAGGCCTAGAAGCTACTAGAGATATATTAATAGTTTCTGACATAGAAACTACCCGGCTGGACCACACTTATAATAAGAAACTAAGGTTTCAAATACCAAGCATAATGTCGAATACAGCTCACTATTTACGGGACTGACTGGGAACAGGCACACAGACTGGTGCAGCTGAAACAAGCGATTTTTATTTTTTTGATAGTTTCTAAATACCTAGCTGAAAACAGTTGTTGACAGCTGTTGATAGTTCCCAACAGCCTTTTTTAATTCCATTTTTTTCCTGTTTTCCTGCCATTTCCTGTCTCTTTCCTTTGCCTCACAATTGATGCCACTGCCATGTCATCATCTTTCCCCCCATTGTTGGTATTTACAATTTTTTTCGTCCCATTTCCTGTTAGTTGTCAAGTACCATGTCGTCATCTTCTACTCCTTGCATCAGTGTCTCGTTTGTTATGCTCTCATCTTCCTGCTCCCCCAGCAGCTGGCATACCAATCAGCATGACAGTGTACCGACACATGGTACATGCCACCATGCCAAAAATGAACCCATATGGGTTTCTAACCAAAGCTTTAAACCTTGTAAAAGCTACAGCATAAACCAGAGAACCCTTCTGCTGCAAAGAATGAATAGCTTACAACATAGAAATTGCCAACTTGTACTAGTGTTGTCAAAGGTGCTAGGCACTAAAAGGTGCCAAGGTTCCAAAACAACCAAGGCGCTAGGCACTCATCTAGATGTTCATCGGAAGCAATACTGATGTAGGACAAGTAGCAATAGATTTCCTTTCGATGATAGAGGTAGAGAGAGAAAGAAAACAGATAATAACAAAAAGATAATAGAAAATAAAGGATAACTACTAGGCTCGATTTGGCTCAAGGAAAACACTTTCAAGATGAAGGTCTAGCACCTCCACATGTCTCGCACATGAACGATGGAATCATACAATCAGAAAACAAATGTGGCCTCGCACCACTCACACTCAAAGGTGAGAAAAAACTCTGATGTAGGACGAGTAGTAACAGATTTCCTTTTGATGATAGAGAGGTAAAGAGAGAAAGAAAAGAGATAATAATATAATGATAATAGAAAAAAAAAATGATAACTACCAAACTCGCTCTGACTCAAGAAGTAGACTCTCAAGATGAAAGCCTCGCACCTCCACATGTCTCGCACGTGGACAACGGAATTATTCCTTCGGAAAACAAATGTGGCCTCACACCACTCACACACAAGGTGGGAAAAAGCTCAATTTATCTTTTTCATTGATCTATTAAAATGTTCTAGCCCCTTTTATTGGTTCAAGTACAAAGGAAAAAAGAAAATTACAGAAACAAGAAAAATTACAATCGCGTCGCATATTTGTTCTTTTCGAAGAAGATAATTTTCTTGATGATATTATTGATTGATAGACTTCCATCTTTGTAAAGATAAATATTTAAGATCTCTAATCAAGGTTTGTAATCTTCAATCAATAATGAATTTTATTTCTTCTACTGTTCCTATATTTGTTCCCTTTTTCTTCGCCTTGAGTAGATGTTGCCGTGTGGCAACTTATGACAAATGCAAATTATCTTAAAACTATTATAACTTATTCAAATAACACATAAACTAAATAACTCCTGCAGCAAAGATGCTTACCAATTATTAAAATTATAACAAATATAAATAAGAATAAAGACAATCATTAAATAAAAATTACATAACACATGAGTTTCATATCATTTCATATTAAAAAGATTACCACTAATACATCAATTACATAATATTAAGTATTAACCACCTATGAAGCATTAAAGAACTCAATCGTTAACCATTATTAACAACAGTTATCCATTATCAACAATAGTTAACATCACTATTATTAACAATAACTAACTATTATGAACAAGAACTAACAACGAGGCTGCAATCGACGTTGGCAATAATCGATGGGGAGGAGAGAAGATTAGGGCTTGTGATTGGAGACATGCAAGGCCTAATTAATTGGCTCTTAGTTGATTGAACCAAATAAATCGAAACAGTCGAGTTCAAATCACGTGATCAGGTTCGAGCCTCTTGGTTGGCTGAGCCAAATTAATTAGCTCGATCAGGTTCAAATCAATTTGACATTGGTCGAGGACTGGACTCAATATGCCAGGGCAGACCCAAGCGAACACCTAGGCCTCCTAGTGTCCAAGCCCATGTGTCACTCAAGTTGTCTTGACCAACAGCCTCTTGAAATCACTGCTTGTACCTATACTAGAACTATCAAACTAACTAACTTATAATTTGAACAAGAAGTATCAAACCTTTCTACCGTAGAAATAAAAACACTTAAATTTTGGAGTTGGATTTGCTAAGGCTTCATAATTTTTTTATCTTGTATTCTTGGTTGTTTATCAAGGTCCACGTACATAGCCTTCTTAATGCCTAGGAGGTTGAGTTTCTCCCACCACATAGTGCCTAGCGTTTTTAGCGTTTTCATGTTAATCAATGGTCTGTTCACCTAGATAGGGATTTGGCAACTCAGCTAGGCCTAAAATTCCACTTCTTTTCTTATGTAGCTAGGTAGTTGTTACAGCAAAAATGAAAAGGGTAAGACTACAAAGACACCGCACGAAAAGTAGTTGTCCAGCATGCTTTGCTATGAATCCTAGCAACAAACACATTAGTTTGCTCAAACTTCCTCGTTATGCATGTTATTTGAAGCTATGAGACAAGATATCATATCTTAAGAAGCATCTTCCATCAAAGCATAAGTGAAAAACTACATGGAAATGGAAAACATAGCTTCATTTATTGAGGTATGGCTACATGAAATAGTGGGAGAAAAGAACTCCATCTTTGGTGACCTGTGTACGACAACCGCCTCGAAAGAAATGCATACACTCATGTCCTCTTAAGAACTTATCAACCATCAAACATATGCATAATTATTATGTAATCGTTCTAAATCCGTACAATTATTTGAAGGAACTTCTTTTTCTAGATTTGCCCAAAAACGCTGGACATTTTGACAACCATTTCTTAGTTTTAACTCTCGTTTCACGTCGAGAAGAACCCTAAAGAACCTGAAGAAAAAAAAATCATTCAATGATAGCAAATCACGACTGCACTCAGACCACAGGAGATCCATGTCAAACGAGTACCAGTTGGCTAGGATTATTGTGTGCTTTATGAAATTGGATGCCCACGGCAGATCAACGTCGATGTTGCTTGAAAGCATATAATAACACATCAACTAACACGTAATAATTTAAGACCGATGCAGGCATAACGCATCAAGGAGAAGAATAATCTCCCAAATTACACCGAAAAAGAGGGCTCGAGCAAGACAAACAAACACGGCGAAGAGGAAAGCGCCAGCGAGAAACCCTAACCCTAAGGGTCGAGACCGAGCGAAGAAAAGAAGATAAACAAATTGAAAAGAAACTCACCGTGGACGTAGTAAGAAGCGTTATGGTTCGTCGGAGGCGGCGGCTCGCGCGCCGGAGACCGAGCAGAGTAGGGTTTGGGAAATCTGCATCAAGTGGCGTTATTAGCTCTGCGATTCGGGGTGCGGGCACGGCGGTGAGCGTGGTTGCAGTCACCGGACTCATCCGCACGAATCTCCAGACCAATATCTGCCGCCCAGTGGAGACGATCCAAGTGTGACACGTGGACGGCGGCTTTTGCACGCACGCATGAAAATTTTCGTGCTTATTAGATGATTTAAATTATTATTAGAACCTTCGGGTCCGTGGGCCGTAGTGGGCCACCACAAAAGTTCGGGGAGACGATGAGTAGCATTTAGTTGCTTGATTGATGATGCCTTGCCACACGAAACCTTTTGGGGCCGCAGAACGACATGCTCTCACGTTGATAACTTATCGCAATCATGAACATAAAGAGTGTTACGATGCAACAAGTTTGCCATGTCATCAAGAATCATGGTTACAGTTGACCATATATGGCCTTGATCGAATGATTAGATCTTCCCTGCCAAGAAACTGTTTGTGCTTTGCCGATGTCTGGGATCCTCTTCTCTTCCCATGAATGAGTTAAGCATGCCGGTCCACTGTTTGCACAAAAGAGAAAATATGAAATATCTTTATGTTTCTTTCCATCGGGCACGTGAATTCCCCAATGGATCGTGTACTGCACCAGAACAGAACAATCATACAACAGTGCTGCAATTACTATACTCAGGACTTGTAGGTTCACTGAAATGGGAAGAAGCAAACAAATAATGTACAGGAAAAGGAGACCGATTCATAATGATCAGTAGTTGGTGAATGAGCGAGAGACGAGCGACTGCTGTTTATCGAATAATCACTGTGGCAGGGAACCCTTTCCAAACAAAACAGCTGTAATTTCACATAAAAAGTCCTTGTGGTTTCAGAAATGTCAGCACATCTGACAATGAAGCTGAAGCACATGAAAAACCTGCCTCACTGAAAGAAGTCCACGGCCAAGGTTTTCTGACATGCTCAAAGAGCATCCAAGGATGAAATCAGAAAAATAGCACCAGGAAGCTCGGATGCAGCCATTCGTTGCATCTCATGTGACAACAACCAATACAGCAAAACTGGAAAGTGTCTCAAAATTCTGTGGCGAGATTAAAGCTGAAAATTCCTGATGAAATAGATAGTGATGGACATGACATTATAATACATGAAACAAATAAAGAGGTCCATAGCCGCAGAAGAACGATAAGCCGATCGTTTAAATTAAATAAGGCTATCCACCCAGTGAGGGAAAAATTCTTATACGATAGGTTGAAACCATGAATTGCTTCAGAAAGGTGATAAAATATGAACATAGAAGATCAAGAATATTTTCGTAAAGAATCTTGTGAGGCAGAACATAACAAGCGTTAGAACACCAAAAGAATCACCCAAAACTCTCTTACAAATTTGAGTATTCAGGTTCTAGGATGCCTTTTTCCAACCTAATTATTACTATATTTCCAATGCGAGGAGCATATTTTAGCAAGTATTACTGTATTGTCTCATGGTATCCTCGTTACACATTGATCTTTTCCGAGATCAAACAAACATAAGCAAACGTTTTGCATGTCGTAATGCCAAAACCATAAGCCAATAAAAATTTAGTAGTTTTGCAATAGATAGGTTCCAATAGCTCAACACGAAAAAAGTGAATACAGATAAACTGAAAAGAAAAAGAGCATATATGACGAGAAAACCAGAGCAAGTGTTCCGAAACAAATTATGCTCAAAACCTGAAGTTCAGAGGAAGAATATTTCGTCATGCACCCATGGAAACCACACGCTTAAAACCATGAAAATGCCCAAAAATCAAGACTAGAGTGCAGATTATAGAACATAAAGGACGAAGTCAAACAAAACATTGCAACAGCAGTGTACTAATTAGGCCAGTCAGAGAAATAAAATCATCATCTGCACCTTACACTGTGACTAAGCTCAAAAGCAGATTTTGCGCATTAATAAACTTCTCCTAAAAAAAGAACCATTTTATAGAGATCAAGTGAAGCATTCCACAACAGACTTTAATGGTATAAAAGCAACTTCTTTAATATCCAGATAAGCTGAGGGAAGAGCATGAACAAGATAAGGCATATAGCCAAATTAGGATGTGTGAAACCACCAAAAGGAAATATCAAAAGCACAGGCAGACATGGCAGATGGTGATCTGAAGCTTCAGATGAGCTGAAATAAAATGCCCAGCAGACGAGCACCGTAGATTATACGGAAAGAAAGCAAAAAACACAAGAAACAGTTACAATAGTGGACAATCATGGTGTTTAGTAATCTGCGAGAACTAAATAATCTGATGGTATGCAAGCCTACAAATACTTCTCACTCTTCTAAACCAGAAGGGAAAAAAACTTAGAAAATCCTAGAAGTAACTTTCATGCTAAACATAAAAACGAAAAAAACTTTCATGCTAAACTACATTAACTAGTTATTATGAAATTTGTGGATGTCATAAAATATATTCTGCAATATGACCTAGACATGCATCGTTTCAGTTACATTTACATTAGTTAGAGAACAAAAATTCACAAAGTATTCCTAAATGTTAGTCTACTTACAATATCAACATTTTTATGTTGAACTTCGGTAATTTATAACGATGCACTTATTGTACTTCAGCCAAGAAACAAAAACAGAATTCCATTGATTTATGCAGAATGTGCTGAAGGATACATGTTTGAAACTATTCACGATAATACATGGCCAAGAACTACATACATGAAATATATATCAAAGAATATTGCGGGGGTGTAAAATATAGGTGACTCGTTGCTTCAATAAAGATTGTTCGATAAAATATCACCAGGAATATCTGAGTATCTTAAGTTCAAACTTACAAAGTGCAAACATAAATGACTACAGTGGATCCTTATTAACTGAAATTTATAGATCATGCATTCTCATTTAGTTCCCAGCATCAGGGGACTAAATGATCTATAACTGAAATTTACTGATCATGTTTTTGTTGCGCTTACCAAAAATATACACCGGATATTACATTTGATATCTGAAGTGCTCTACTTTTGATAATGAAAACTGCAGAGAATCCTCTATTAGCTAAAATTTATAGATCAAGCATTTACATACTAGTTTTGGTGTTATGGGAACAAGAAAAATCATGTAGTCAGTCTTAAACCCCCAAAACAAGAAACATATTTCAATCACGTCTGTAAGGAACCATTCCTTTCAGTCACATATACTTAGTCAGATTCTACTTTAGTTTCTCCATCAAAGCCTCCGCTTCAAACATCTCAAAGCATATGCCAAACCCTGATCCCTGATTCTGACAAAGAAAAGCAGCTCCGAGTGCCAAAAGAAAATTTCAATAAATAACATATTTTGGCAACAAATCTCAGCAACAAAAACATAAAATAGAACTAAAACATTTGGAAGAAATATAGTAGCACCATCTAAAATGCACATCACATAAACAGCACTAACAAAACTAGCCTTACATATTTAAGAGACTGAAAGACTTCTGAAGAAAAAGAGGCTTCCTTAGCCAAAAGCAGTGAAGCATTATACAAACATTTTCCAAGAATAAAGCCTACAGCTCGCGTTACACCGATCTCTCAAGTCACGACTCACCTACTTAAAAAGTTATTGAGGAAGTCTGAAAACAAAACCGGGGATTTTTTATATAGAAACGAGTAAGAGCGTGAAAGGTTACAAACACCGGATGCAGAGGTTTATCGACCGATTCCAGCTTTGCACCCTCGAACTCCCAACCAGATCAGAACCAAATCCAACAAGGCCAGGAAAAGATCGATAAACCGCTGCGTCCAGACATCACCTTTCTTTCTTGCTTTCGTTCTTTTACAGACAAGAGAGACGGATAGCAACAAAAACAAACGATATCAGAGAACTATACTACATCCCACTCTTCCCGTATGAGAAAAGCGTTGACACAAGGAACCTACAACCTTTTTGGGCCAAGGAAAGCGATACGTGATGGAGGCAGGAAGGAGCAGCGACATGATGAGCACGTTGATGTGAAATGGGGGCAGGAATTGTTAGGGAAGGAATCAAAATACAATGGAGGGTAAAAACCCGAACAGATCAAGTAACCCTAGATTGCAGGGGTGAGAGCCCCAGAGAGAGAGAGAGAGAGAGCGAGAGGAGAGGGAGAGGCCGCCCGTGACAACTGGCGCCATGTGAAGACGTCTCGTTTTGCGCCAACAAGGCACGAGATGATGCAGCAGCGAAAGGGATAGGAGGATCCATCGAACCGATACAAGTAGCTGTTTTGTATCGACGTGCGGCGTGTGCAGGCCAAGACAGCTCGACACGTGTGCACCGTAGGCATCGAACCCCTCTATCCTCTTCCTCGGCTGCACAGATCTCAAAGACCGACGGACGGCAATTAATTAATTATATGATATAGAGAGGGTTGATCAAATGATTCTGATCCAGTGGATAGAGAGAGAAAAAAAAAAAGACTCCCATCAACAAGCAGCACTCCTTTTGGACCAGCGTTGCATGTTACAGAAACGCTGCACAGAAAAACAAAGAAGAGAGAATTATTTCTAACAAGATTATAATGGTGCACAACAACAGTGATATGATAGATAGGATTGATCAAATGATACTGACCCAGAGTGGAGAGAGAGAGAGAGAGTAGTCTTCCATCAACAAGTAGCACTCCTTTTGGACCAGCGTTGCATGTTGCTGAAGCACAGATAAACAAAGAGGAGAGAATTATTCCTAACAAGATCATATTGGTGTCCAACCAGAGGCAGGCATTACAAGAACATGAAGAAATAGATTACATGTAATAATTTGATGATAAAAATATCAGCATTAGAGAGCATGATATAAAACTACTACAATTAATTTTAGAACTTAAGTAACATAAGCTGGTCGAGATTACCTTGCAATGGTTTCATCACCTTACAATAAGATTTGTTGCAGACTATTCTGTAGCAAAACTTATGACATGCTTGGAAGTATCCTTGATCAGCCTACTTTAAGTGGAGCAACTGTGTAGAAAAACCAAACTTTCTTTGCTAAAGTCCAAGACAACATCTGCACATCCATGTAGAAAAGAATAGGCACTCAACAGAAAAAAGCTATATCAACATAACTATTTGATAAAAACCTAAAACAAAAACAGCAGTAGTAGCTGCTACTCATGTCCTATGATGCAAGGTACAAAATAAAAGATGAAACTAATTGCCCGTTTTTGTACACAGAGGAACTGCAACCTTATCCATAAACATAAACTATAGCCATATCATCACAAATGCTGGAAAGGATGAAAGATATGTCTGACAGCTGTGTGTGCATGCACTAGTGAGAGAGAGAAATGTCTAGAAACAATTGGTCAGTATCGTAATTAACTTCAATCAGATGCAGCATCAGACATTATATTGGATGCATTTGTATGTTGTATAAATCACTCTGAGTCAACCTCCTCAGAAAAATGCATGCACTGAGCTACAAATTGAAGCTAGTGCACCACCTCAGAGTTTATCCTTCTCTGAGTCTGCCTGAAATATAGAAATCATAAATAGATCTCCAGTTCTGAACGAGGCAAAGATCATGTCAGTGATGTCAGTTTTACATTCAAACGTATATCCACGATGCCTGTGCAGCAATAGCAATGCATTAGTTCTCCAGCTTATATCTTCTGAGATAATGACTATTGATGACAGCCATAACAAATTATCAAGCTGCCACGTCTATCAATCCAAAACTCACATTAACATAATGCATAATATCTCTACAATTATACTTCAAATATATTTTCTCTTCTTAACTTGGTTGTCAACTTCAGATTCTCTATGGGATCTGAATCAGGAACCTGGCCCTTCCCGTAGATGATAGAATCATCAAGAGTATAAATGCAGAGAGTAAGGGAAGAAACCGCAGATGCCTTTGTTGCAGCAATATGAAAGCTACCAGTACCACCACCCATTTCCAGGTACTCAGTTTTGATCATGCTCTCAAACAGGGTTATTGCTTGAACCATCTGGAAGACCAGAAAAAAGAAATATGATTGCAGAAAAGCTAAAATGTCCGAGTTAAGTTTATCACAGGCATTAAGAGACTTGGACCATTATGGTCAACGAAAGTGACTTATCATATACAGGACTTGAAATCTGAACCAAATCCAGGAGACCAATAAGAAGACCTCTCAAAGCAACAACATGATATCAACCTCCAACCACAGAATCCTAGCAAGATTTAAGAGTCTCTGGTAACTACTGTGACATATAATCATGCCTTTGCAGCTGTAAGCTACACATTGGTCAGGTAGACATACAAGCATATCTAAAGATGCAAAACCACTAATAGAACATTAGAAATTTGATAAAATCCACAAAACTCAATAATTTATCAGAAAAAAAAGGAAGAGAGTTTCCTAAAACTTAAAGTTATCAGGCAACCTATATGCTGTTTCACAACCTCATGCACAAGTGGTATCAGATATATTGATAATAAAACAGATCTTATTTTTCCTGAGAAGATTTTCGATCACACAGAGACATACGGAAGCTTTCAGATAGAGAATAGACTCATACATTTGTGTAACATCCCCAAGTTTAGTCCCGCATCAAAGTATGAGAAGAGGAAAGTTTGATGGGTGTACTATAATCAGCTTATAAGCTTTTGGGCCAGTGATTCAGGCCCAAAAGTTCGGAGGCTAGTTATCCAATCATAGTCACAAAAGATAACAATATTAACGCAAATTTTGCATGTGATTTTAGAGCAATTGGTCACAGCTATGTTAATCTTCCAAAAGCAAGGATTTTAAGCATGAACAACCAGGAGCAGCTGAGTTTAATGGAAGATTCATAGGCCCAAAGTTCATAGGCTTAATAAAGTTCGTAGGCTAGTTATCCCATCATAGTCACAAAAGATAACAGTATTAACCAAAATTTTGCATGTGATTTTAGAGCAATTGGTCACAGCTATGTTAATCTTACAAAAGCAAGGATTTTAAGCATGAACAACCAGGAGCTGCTGAGTTTCATGTGATCATTATGGAGAACCAGATGCAATAAGAAGAAGAAGAAGAATAAAAAAGACAACCACACCACTTAACACTGGAAAATCACGTGCAAGATGCATCGTCGATCGTAGTCTTAGAAATCTCATCAACTAATGGCGTCGATGATGACTCCGGAACCGCACAGGTGCGGGCCAACTTCAGATCGTTTGAATCTTATCGATTACCGGGAGTGGATATCTTGTGGGCGAGGAGTCGGCGGGAGGGATGACCTCGTTCAGGTCGATGACGAGCGGCGCCGGGCCGGTGCCGCGGCAAAGGGCGGCAGGATCCATTTGAGGCGACTAAGAAAGGGACGGAAATACCTTCCAATTATTAGGGTATTTGTGACGGGTTGAGGTGTTTCTCTTCGCTCGGTGCGGCGAAGTAGAAAGGAAGCTAAAAGGACGCGTGGAGAAAGGCGAGACGTGGAAAGTGTTGGAGTTTGGTGTTTGGGGGGGGGGAAGGGATGGGAAAGTTACAAGTGACCGCCAAGAAGCATAGCGATTGGCTACATCACGAAGCCAGCAATTAGGATGAGAGATCGCGTAATCGTGCGACGGACGGTGCTGATCTTTTCTCCGCAGTGGGGCCAACCACGTTTCCGTGGGCCACCTGATACGCATCACGGATAACAGCAGTGCCACGTTTCATGGGGAAGCCTTGGTCATCATTTGAATCGGGTCGGATCCAGGCTCACGGATCTTTGCACATTTCTTGTGCCCGAATCCGTGTGTATGCGCAATTATAATTACAAATTTTCTTTTACGAAATATCACTATTTACATGCATAAATCGATGATAAAGGTTAAATGTAAAGTGAAGAAAAAAAAATCAATTATTATACTAATAAAATATATTATTCTAAAGTTCGAATATAATAATACATCAATCACGTATAACACATAAACATGTCATGATTCGATAGAGTTAGTAGTATTCTTATTTAACGAAGTTACAAGCCATCTAAGTAAGTAAGATTTATAAAAGTAATTATGTCTTTGAATTCATATTTAAGTTGGTTAGTTTTGAGATCATGTAATGTAAATATAAGCATTAATGTGCTTCATATCCACCTAATCGATCTAGATACCCTCAAAACATAAAATATAAAAGTGTTCAACGTATCTTAATTGGATAAAATATATCATAAGAGCGATACATCTAAGATATAAGTAGGAAAGAAGTTGATATGCTCTAATTAAATAAACCATATCCTGAGTATATCCTATATTCATATGAGATATTTATTAAACAAAATACTTTCTATATGCAATATGTTTATCCATGATAAAAGCTCAAAACACATCGATCTCCCATATCCTAACCAAACAACACATAACATAGTACACATCGATCTCAGTATAATAATTTCTCCAGCATGATGCGTCTGTCTTAACATCCATCAAATAAAAATATCGATAATAATGTCTCTTCATTTTTTCTATTTAACTAATTAAGCCGACCGTCATACCAATCAATGCCCAAAAGAAACACCCAATAAGTCAACCTCGAGTCACAGGAAGGAGTGTAAAAAGGTCAACGAGAATATATTACAATCAACCGGAAGCACGAGTCAACGACGTCAACTCACAATTCATTTTAGGTTGATGAAATCACTTGTGGTGTAAAATTCAAAGCTACCACTAACATCAAAAGCATAAATTATTAAAAATAATTTAATATATTCATTAAATATAATATCTCTCGAATAACTTAGCATTAAAAATATATCATTATTAATTTTGAAAATAAAAATAAAAAAATGACATAATATACTTATTAAGTCTAATAACTTACTTGAGAAGTTGATTTTTATTAATATTTTTCTTGGTTAGTAAAATAAAAAACGAATCAGAAGTGATAGAGATGATAGCATATAATATATATTTATGGACAATAGGTCCCAATTGGTGGGTGAGATAGGACGGGAATCTAATCGAAGAAAGCAAAAGGAAGAAGACAACAAAGATGAAACCTGATGTTTTGGCCAAAGGCATTTAATGATGTATTATAATCCTACAAATTGGTGCCATTGTTGGACTATTATTCCAATGGCATCACTCAATCCAATACGTTGTGACCACCACCACCACCACCACCGCCGCCACCACCGCCACGCCATCGCCGCTCATTATATACTTGTCATAAAAAAGAGCATCGGAATATCAACCAGAATATCGGTGACAACCACTGATTTCTAACTTTTTTTTATATTGTATAATTATTTTATAAAATCGTTTTTATCATTATTTTTCATGAAAGAATATTTTCCTAGAAATTTGAAATTCAATAAATACGTGAATTCCAATTTTTCTTGTCAATTTGTCACAATTTGAAATGGAAGAAAAAGAAACCATATGTTAGTGTCATGCCCCCATAAAATATGAAGATGTATAGATAAATAAATAAATAAATAAAAAGCTATAGAACAATACATTATTACGTTATACAAGTTGTTAGTGACTTTTATATTGAATAATCTAAATTTAATTTAAACCTATATTGAAAAATAAATTTGAAAAATTATATTATATTAAATTTTGATTAATATTATTTGACCTTATCATTTCAAAAATTGAAAAAAAAACCCAAACATATCAATAATATATTTATTCGAAATTAATTTATATTTATACTTATTATTATTATGATTTATATACATTAAAATTATATTTGTATTATGATTTTTTTTTTCTAATTCGACTTCTATTATGATTTATATAAATTACAATGCCAAGAAAGTAAACTAATTAGTCCTCTACAAATTGGGGACATCATATGGCGAGAAAGCAGTTAGGTTTCAATCATGCTTTGCTGCTCTATAAATAGAGCCGAGCGCTACGCGTCGAAACAGAGCCAGAAAGAGAGAGAGAGAGAGAGAGAGAGAGTTCGAATCGTATTGCAGTCATGGAAGTGGAAGGCGGCGTCAAGGTAGGAGGAGGGGAGAAGGAGAAGGTCGGTGGCGCGGTGCAGCAGGTCAACGGGGGCCTGACCAACGATGGCTTATCGGCCATCATGCCCGGGTGGTTCTCCGAGATCAACCCCATGTGGCCAGGTCGGGCTCCCTTTATCTGGAATCGTTTTGATTCCCCTGCTTCGGGTTGCGTTCTATTTGGATTGAGATTTCTACTGTCTTTTTGGCTTGCTAAACATTGCTGGGTGTGGGAGCGAAGTGCTTGTAATCGTAGCTATGAAAGCGAGGGAGATGCCGATCTACATACGTCTTTTGTTACCCTGTTTTTTGCACTCAAAATTCTTCGTCTTTTATTTCAAGATTCTGTTTTTGTTGTTTGTTTCTATTTGGAATTTGTTGTGTGTTTCTTTATCTGAAATTCTGATGATTTATCTTTCTACGGATCGTGCTATTTAGATTGTTGTCTCAGGGTTTTAGTTGCCGTGATTGAGGTGTATACTATTTTTTGGCTTGCTAAACATTGATAACTACAGGGGGTGGAAGAACATGCCAGTGTATCTATGAAAGCGAGAGATGTCTATCGCCCTAGATAGGTGTTTGGACGCTGTTTTTTGCACTATAAAAAAATCGCCTTTTTATTTTTTTAAGATTCTGGTTTCTTTACCTTTTTGTGCTTTCACAGGGGATATATGTGTTTCTATCCGTTATTTGTTGTGTGTCAAAAAAGATTGATCGATTTATTTTTAATTGGTCTATCTGTTTTTTTATCTTTGATAACTCGGTAGATGATCGTTAGACATTACCATTTTACCTATCTTGGATGATTCTGTTGATATTTCTCTTTGTTTTCTGCATTGTAGCGTTGATTTAGCTCGTCTCCCCATTTGGCTGGGAGATTGCCGTTCATGTTTTCTCTAGTAAATAGTTGAGGAAATCTGGATAAGCTTACTGAAATCTTATGTTTCTTTGCTTTGATAATGACGTCTTTGAACCAATGTCTTTGTATAGAGCTTGTAGTTCACTTCAGCATTTTAGATAATTTACTTTTTTTCCAGATTCTGTGCATTAGCGGTTCTAGTCTATTTGGTTTCAAGCTGTAGACTGGTCCTTTATTGGAACACTTGAATGTCGGCAATTTGGTAATAGCTTCATGCTATGTAAAACTGGTTCTCGAAATGTTCGTGTTGCTTTCTGTAGTGGCCAAAGATTTAGGAGTATACCTATGGTGCCAACTGACTAACAAGCCACATCTCTGAGGGTAGTTTAAGATCCTCCAAAAGAGATGAAAATAAAAATATGAAGGTTATATATTTTCATGCTTATGAACCTTACATGGCCATACTGCCTCCTGTTAGTTATATTTGTTTGTGTACCATCTGAACAAAATTTGATGGCTCATTTTGTCTCTTCCTATAGTTTCCATTGGGAAACATGCAAGATTTTAATTATATATATTTTTTCCTGATATCCTATAGAGTAGTTGATCCAGAAGAAAACTTGGACCATCCTTTTGGATTATTCGGTGGGAAGTTACATGCTGGATGTGAAAATAATGGTGTTCTAGAAATCTGGAAGTATTTAAATTTTCTATATAACTTAAAAAGTGAACCTTTGAAGGTAAAGATTGTCAAAAAGCATAAAAAATGTATGAAATCATACTGGTAGCTTATATTGTTCAACAGTTAGTATGTAAGTTTTTGCACTGCTATTTGCAGGAGAGGCCCACTCATTAAAAGTGGAGAAGGTCTTATTTCAAGGAAAATCAGACTTCCAAAATGTTGTGGTGTTTCAGGTACTCTATCCAAGTAAACAATCTTAATTCTGGTGTTAACATGATAAATATCCCAATTTTGTGATCGCATTTGCTACTTCTAATGTTATTTTTAATGTCAGTCTTCCACTTATGGGAAAGTTCTCGTCTTGGATGGGGTCATTCAATTGACAGAGAGGGATGAGTGTGCTTACCAAGAAATGATTACTCATATTCCACTTTGCTCTATCCTGAACCCTAAAAAGGTTTATTTCTGAACTTTGAGTTACATATATTTCGTGCAAATGCTGTAGCTTTCTCTTGAAACCATGAAAATTCATTTTCTTTTCCCATAGTGCTATATAGCTGCTACATAAAATGGAGAAGATCTTAGTTAGTATTCCAACTTATGGTGCTATCCATCTGATGAAAAGATAATGAACATCTCATTTTGTTCTCTCTTTGACTCTTTGTTTAAATGGTTGGATTGTTAAAATAGTAAATTACTAGTTCTGCCACATTGACGGCCATGCCATAAGGGAGCCAATGGTTGATAAGTTCTTTGAGCTATATAGTTTGAAATTTTGTATATTATGGGATCCATTAAACTTGACCGTTTGGTGGCTATGGTGAATTTGTTCTTTTGCCACTACAAACATACAATCTGACAAGAACTTTAGTATTTTGATACATTTTGTTGTGTATTCATAGTTGGATTAAAATGTCATCATTACAGGTTCTGGTTATTGGAGGCGGTGATGGTGGTGTTCTACGGGAAGTATCACGTTATTCTTCTGTGGAGCAAATCGACATATGTGAAATTGATAAAATGGTTATAGATGTGAGTAGATCATACTTGTTACTTGTTAGTACCTGTAGCTTTTGCTCATAAGCCTATTCTAATGCTTTAATTTGGTGTTCTTCATTATTCGGAGTGCATAAAAAATACATGGATGTAGATATCTGGCTTTATTGGAATGAAGGTCACTCTAAAACACTGCAAATAAGATTCTCCAAGATCCTCTTTGTAGTTATATTTATTGAGAATCTACCGGCAGAATATCTGTATTGGAACCTGTTTGATGGTACGCTCATGATGCTGCTGAAACTTTTTACAGAAGATTAGGGCTTTCTACTAATTGTCCTTTTCTACTATTTTTCCCTTTAACACAATACTTAAAGGTTGGATAATCTTTAGACAAGCTAAAGATTTGCTACTCATCTCTTTTCATGTAATTTTCTCGAAGCATACCATTGTGCGCAAAGGTCCTAATTTAATTTTATTTAACTCCTTCACAAACATCCATCAAGCACCAACTGGTGCATGAATGGTCATCCTGAATATTCTTCTGATGGCCTGAATTTATTTTAAGACGGGGATCCACGAAATAACTCAACACCATGCAGCTTTTAGTAAATTTTACAGAGCTATATCTATGTACTATTTCAATAGTCACTTAGGTGTTTGATGATATCTGCAGTTCCTGTCTTATGGACCTGAGTTCCAAAGGACAATTTCATTTGCAATCGACATTCACTAGACAATCTGTTACCTCTTTCCACAGTAGTTTGATTTTTATTGAAAGATCTGGCTCCAATAGGTTTGATGCTCACCTAGGGTTTCTAATAGCTGCAATTTGCTAAATCGGAACTATTAATTATGACACAAGTGAACCAGGCATATATAGATTGTAGCAAATTCAAATCAACTTTACAAGTCTGAGAATCATTTCCATGGATCAACTTGGTTGCCTGAACCTTCAATTTACTTCTCATATTCATCTTGTTAATAGAAAATAAAAACTTCTATACTGTATTTATTCAAGAATTTTTTTGACACAAAAAGATAAGGTCAAATGGATTTAGCAAAAAGCTGGAGCAGAGTGTGTTGCTGCTAAGTTAAATAACAAACGATAACTATTAAAAGTAACTAAATCATGATAGCACTGCATGAAGAAGATTTTCGACTAATCTTAGTGATGCTGATTCAAATGACTCTTCTTGTGGAAGCTATACGTGACTTTTCCTCCATCTCACATTTGGGGATGGAATGTGAGGATGACTTGTTACCAGATAAGACTGTGTATATATTTTTTTTCTGTTCAATAGATCACATTATTTGGGACATTTGGCTTGTTGTTGCTGCCATAGATTGCATTAAATCTCTTATATGCTTTTTATGACTTAAAATATCATGTAAAAGTTAATTATTTTTTTCATTTTTGTTTGACTTCTTATTTAAAATAGGTTTCTAAGGAATTCTTCCCCAACATGGCTGTTGGATATGAAGATCCTCGTGTGACTCTTCATGTTGGTGATGGTAAGTAACTTATGGCAATTGTTATACAATTATTCTGCTCAAGTTGGTGAGAAATGTTATGATCAGACCATTTGCCTAGTCTTTAACCTGTAATTGCTTCCTCGAATGTGACTAAGCCAAGTGTTCAGTGCTTGCGTCAACTATTTATTGTGGTATCAGCCCATATCATATATATGAATTCCAATATGACCTAATAATTTTGAGCAAGGGTCAGCGTCTTTTTCTAATTGGACCATATGGTAACATTCGCAAATTTTTTTATCAATATGCATGTCATATCACTGGCTTTTGGACTTCACAACAAAATTATATGTGTAATTTAGCTATTGGCTTAACCTTGTTGATATATGCAACATTGAATTTATTCTCAGTTTAGTTGATTTCGTTGTTCCAAAACATGTAGGAGTTGCATTCCTAAAGAACGTTCCTGAAGGTACTTATGATGCGATCATTGTGGATTCTTCTGATCCAATAGGTAAGATCTATGATTTTCTTTTTTCACTGTTGCTTCCTGAGGTTGTCTTACTTCTTTTATTTGTTTGATCAGGTCCCGCTAAAGAACTTTTCGAGAAGCCTTTCTTCGAATCAGTTGCCAATGCTCTTCGTCCAGGAGGAGTTGTATGCACTCAGGCAGAAAGCATATGGCTTCATATGCACATAATTGAAGACATTGTTTCTAATTGTCGCCAAGTTTTTAAGGGCTCTGTGAGTTATGCTTGGACAACAGTACCTACATATCCAAGGCATGAACAAATCTATATTTTCTCTTATTTCGAGCAGTCTACTCTCTTGTTAGTTATTTAGTAAAATAGTTTCATGTTGCACTCTTGATTTGTGAATTCAGCGGAGTGATTGGCTTCATGCTTTGCTCCACCGAAGGGCCACCTGTTGATTTCCAACATCCTGTGTACAACATGGATGAGGCTGAGAATTCCAACAAGTCCGTAGGACCTTTAAAGTTCTACAACTCTGAGGTACCTCTCATTCTAAACTTTTCTTCAATGTTTTCTCCATCTTTTTTTCTTAGCAATCTCTGTTGCCTTTCCCAGATTCATTCTGCTGCATTTTGCTTGCCGTCTTTCGCGCGGAGGGTTATTGATTCTTAGACGAGCTAATGACACCATTGCGAAGATCAGACCAGACAGACCCTGATGAGAAGATGGAGACTTCTACTTCACTCAAGAAACTTCATTTCTCTGCCCTCTCAGTTGGATCATTCATGATAGCTGTGTTCTTTCGGATATGGGGTTTCTCTTTTGGTCCGAGTGTCGGTCTTGGAAGCGACATCGACTTGATTATCAAATTGCTATAAAAATATCTAGATATTTATATTTTACGAACGATTTATTGCATCCATGGATATTGTTTACTTATATTTTATTTTATCAAATGGATATTTTTGACACAATAACTAATACAGCTTTGGAGTATTATCAAATGAATGACTGGTCTTGTACTCTCCTTCAAATCCCTCATATGTCAAATGTGTTTTTGAGGGGCCATGGAATTTGTTCTGCAGTGTGGCCAGCTTAAAATTTGCATGATTGCTATGTTAAGAACTTAAGATTGACAATCTGTTTGCATTTGGTTGGTTTTGTTGAACTCAAGATTTTATAGGATTGAAATCTCTACCCATTGCAATTTGGTGAGGCTGTGGTTTGTGGTCTAAACCCCCGTCTTATTTGCCTTCTTTGTTCTCATGCTCTTGATTTATAATTTTAGCTGTATACTGCAGGAGGATGTTGGGTTGCATTAATGCTGATCAAGTGTGGAATTAATTGCTAATGAACCAAACCATATCTGTGAATTATTTGTGATCAAGCTGAAATATGACTCTACTCACTTGAATAGAAGAAAACTGTCGAGAGTGCATCGAGATCAGCCTAAATAATCTAAATACATTAGCATTTATCATTCACAAATACATGGGATGATACGGTCAATATTCTTTACCAACTATATTACTTCATATAATTAGACTTATTTAGTATTTTAATATTTATATATTTAAAAATTATATTAGGATCTTTATATTTATGAAAGTAAAATATTTAATTTTTTTATGTTATCGACTCTAATAATGAAAATATCATAATATTTATCGCGTGTTAATTCTGCTTCATTTTGATTTATGATGTGTGGTATTTTTATTAATAAAATTAAATATTTTATTTTCTTAAATATAGAGATATAATCTATAATTAACCCATCAAAATATAATAAAATAATTTTTCTCTTGTCATCGACATTATTATTATTATTATTATTATTATTATTATTATTATTATTATTATTATTATTATTATTATTATTATTATCATCATCATCATCATCGACAACAAAAACACCCACAGGCGTCGGGGTGACTCGAACAACGGGTCACAGTGAAAACAAGCGAAAACCGACGCGTCGCGATCTCGAAGCGTTGCTCGCATCTCCCCTTCCCTCCTCGTCTCCTGTGGGTTTCAGGCCCACAAAAGAGGCGCGCCACCATAAATCCTACCATATCGATCGCCTCCCCCGACGCCGATCCTTTCGACTCGATCGGTTTCCCGAGATCCATGTCACGTCTTAATCTTTACGGCATAGCACGATGCCAATGTTCGTTCCAGTTCAAGGTCAGCCGATTCTTGCCTCCTGTTCTTTCGTGTGTGAATCAATTGGTAATGGCCTTTGTAATTGTCCATCATGCGCTTCGAGATTTCTCTTTCCAGCTTAATTTTTTATGCGGGGATTGGTGGGAATTCTTGTTATGAAATGTTCTGCTGCTTCCACCTACGGTCGCGATTGATATTTTATGCGCAATAAGTTGTAATTCATCTTTACCTGGTGGTCAATTCTCTTTTGCGGTAGGCTCGACGGGAACGGAATTCTTGCCCTTCACTTGTTCGATGAAATGACAGCAAAGTCTCCAATCTTCGTTATTCGGAGGCATCTTCCCATCTGGGTCTCCCTAAATTATCGTTCTTACACAATTGCAAGTGCTGCACTTGTTCAGGGTCCTCCCAAAGATGACAAAGACGCTCCAGATTCTGCTGAGTTTGTATCTGCGGTACAGGTGCTTAAGAATCGGCTTCATCCCGACAGACTTGTTCATGTCTTGGATTCTACATCTGATGTGACCTTGGCTCTTAAGGTGTTTAAGTGGGCTTCAAGGCAGAAAAGGTTCCAGCAGACAGCTGAGACTTATGGCCATATGATTTTTAAGTTGGGAATGGTGGGAGATCACGAAGAAATGGAGGTTCTTTTGAACGAGATGGTTAATTTACAACTTCAAAATATAGAACAGACCTTTGATTACTTGATCCATGCATTTTGTAAAAATTATAGGCCTGTAGAAGCTTTACAGGTTTTCAAAATTTCAAATTTGGCAAAACACAGGGTATCAGTCTCAACATGCAACGCATTATTAGATGCTTTTGCTTCACAGGGTGGAAATTTTTGCTCGTTGATGTTTGTCTATAAGGAAATGGTCAAAGCAGGGATTCTTCCAGATGTTGAAACATTGAATCACTTAATAAAGGGTTTATGTGACATTGGGTGCTTGGACTTAGCGCTAACCCAGTTTCATAGGATGGATAAGAAGCAGTGCTTTCCAAACAGCCAGACATTTGAGATACTCATTAAAGCTCTTTACACTAGTGAACAAGCAGACAAAGCAGTTGAGTTATTGAATCAGATGCTGGATCTACAAATCTCTCCACATTTTGATTTCTATAATAGTATTATACCTCTTCTTTGCAGCATCAACAGATTCAAAGAAGTCATTAAGTTGCTTAGAATTAGGGAAGATGCAGGTGGCAATCTGGATTTACATTTGTATAGCTATCTGATTAATTGTTTGTCTGCCAATCAACAAATAGAGAGTGCTGTAGAACTTATTCGTAAAATCACAAACTCAGGCCTTGCTCCTTTAACTAATATGTACATGGATATTGTGGATGGTTTCTGCAACATTGGGAAGTTCACTGAAGCCATGAGCTTCCTGGATGAAGGACGAGTTTTGGAAATCGAGCCTTACAACACCTTGCTCAAAGGTTTCTGCGATGTCAGCAGATATCAGGAGGCAACTGTTTACTTGAAGAAAATGGCTGAAGGGGGTTTGACTAATGTTTTATCGTGGTATATTCTTATAAAAGGACTTTGTGAGGAAGGGCTTGTCAGAAAAGCATTTCAAGTTATGGGAAGAATGATTATTTCTTCTTCTTCTTCTTTTGTGGTTGATGGAACTATTTATTCTGCTATTATAACTGGGTACTGTAAGATCGGTGCATATGAGAATGCTTTAAGTATCTTTAGACTGTCCTGTTTGTATGACCTCTCTTTAGATTCAGAGTCATGCTCGCAGTTGATTGAGGGTTTGTGTGTTGTGAAGAAGATCCAAGAATCTGCTGAGGTATTTTACCACATTATTGGTAAAGGTGATTTGCTTACTAGTAATGCACTAAGTGAATTAATTCAAGGCATCTGTCACAATGGAAAGGTGCAGGAAGCCATCAAAATGCGTTCTCTCGCTGTTTTTAATGGCTCATCTTCTAATTCAGTCACAATTTCCACAATATTGCTTGGTCTCTTAGATTTGAACAAGGAAAAAGATATCTTAACATTCCTTTCCCAGATTTTGGTTGAAGGATGTGCATTGGATGTGAAGACATACTGCATTCTCATTCATGGCTTGTGTTCCAAGTTTATGATGAGAGAGGCTGCAATTTTGTTCAACCAAATGGTTCATGAGAGCTTTATTCCTAACTCTGAAACACTTGAGCTACTCGTGGTTAGACTGGCAAGTTGTTCGCAATTGCATTTGGTCATGCATAGTTTAGATAGCCTGATCAAGAAATGTGGACTACTAAGTCCCACAATGTGTAACGCAGTAATATATAGTCTCATGAAAGAGGGACACAAGCATGAGGCCCGTAACTTTTTGGACACAATGCTTGATAAAGGGTGGGTCCCAGATGCTGAGACCCATGTTTTGCTTGTTGGAAATAATAATAAAGATGGGAGGAATGAAAATGATGATGTATTTAAAGCTCTTGGTGATGACAAAGTGAGCAAAATATTAGCTGAGGGGCTGGAAGATTTTGACAATCACATGGCTTTGAGATGAATAGTGCCCTATAGCATATACTTTCCTCTTCTGAATTCTTTTCAAGTCTAGGCAGTTTTGAAAGATTGCTCTTTGCTTTCCATGAGCCGAACTGCAACTTCAAATTGGAATTTTACTTGACCACGAGGAACTCTTTGATATTGGATGGCAAATATGTCTCTCAAACTTCTATTTGAAGATTGGGGTTACTTTGGCTGGGAACTTGTCATCAATTTCGGGGGGCTGGTGATAAACCCATAGTTGATCACTAGATGTCAAATTCTCATTGTGCCGTATTGATTTTAATTGGTGCTCTGTAGCTCAAACCTATATGGGAAACGTTCTTAAGAGAGAATTATGACTACCATGACAAAATATGTCATTCTTGAGTGATATATAATCTGCAATTCTGCATGCGACCTTATTCGAGTTTGAAATCAGATTTTCATTTGTGATGGCCTCATAATTCATTAGGTACTAGAACAAGCTATGTTGCGGTGTGTTGGAATAGGCTTCCAACTTTTGGTCGGTTGCATCATAATCATCACTCAGACTGATGGATGTCCTATTTGTAAGCTCTAGATTGGCTCACCTAATCATATCTTCTTTAAATACTTCTTTCCTCAAACCTTTTGGGATGAACTCCAGTTTAAGTTTGGCCTCCACCATCAATTTTTTGACTTTTGGAATCAAGGACCCGGCTGGAAGAAAGCAGAGGTTTTGACAAACCTAATTCCAAATGGATTCTCAGCCTCATCTCTATTGGATTGTGGACTCTTTGGTTGAACAAGAATGAAGCCAAACATTGTCACCACAAGGCCAGGCCTTCCAACCTTAGTTCTGAGCAGATCAATAGGCAGAATGACAGTATCAGTCTCTGCACCTGTTGGGAACATGACCTCACTCTGGAATGTGATGGATCTCTCACTCTGTCCTGATGCAGGTATTTAATTTATAGTCGAAGACTCTACCAACTCAGTAAAGGTGGCTGTTTACGCTCACGGTAAATCTCATACTGCCTTGGAGGCTGAAGGTCTAGCAATATCTGAAGGGCTGAAGTATGCAGAGTAGGCGAACATGTCTAAAATTTTGGGCTGCACAGATGCAACTGACAGTTAATTTTGTTAATGGGGTCAAGGGCACTCATTGGCACCTGAAAGCTATTGTCTCTAACATAGCAGAGCATTGCAAAAGGTTGCAGGTAGTTTAAGTTAGCTTTCTTTTCAGGAACCTTAACTTAGCTTTCTTTTCAGGGACCTTAACTTGTGCAGAACTTGTCGGTTCCCTTCTTTTTGGACTTCTGATGAGCCTCTCTCATCATTGTTCTGTTATATTCCTCTGCAAGTAATGAATGCTTTTTCTTTAAAAAAAACATCAGGGTGCTTACTTTTTGGGACTTGTCTTCCATTTTCCATTTGGCATGTCTTAGTTGCCTTTAATACAAGGAAAATGTTATAGCTTTGTTCCAGCAAATTCTGTGATCATGCACTGGTTGAACTAATTATTGTGCTACTGGTCATGCACAAAATTTTCAATTTGAGTAAAATTGATGTTGTAACGATCATTCATTTCTTCCATGTTCTTCATGCAGGGAGCAAAGTTATGGTAATTCCCATGATACCTTACTGATTCAGGTTTTTGACTTCCTGACTGGATGTGTAGAGCCCTATCTAGACGAGAACTGGAGTCACACTGCCTCTTGAATTTAACAATCGTTGTTGTTCGACTTGTTTGTACAATAAATAGCACTTATATGGCTGGTTTAGTTCAGCATTTGACGAAAAAGAAGCTTGGAGATGTGGCAATGGCAGCTTTGATTGTTCATGGGAAGCTATTTAGACACTTCCACATGCGGTTATGTGTGTGCAGCATAACGATTCATTCTTTAATAGATACGTGAAAGATTTGGTTGATTCATTTTCTATTTCATAATCTCCAGAAGTGAATGTGACAGGTTTAATCGTATGTAACTCAGTTGCAACTCTACTAGAAGGTGATGACATCTCAATTATTGATGATCAAAATGAGCTATTCAATTCCTGTAACAATTGCAGAAAATTGGTCTTCTGGATGAGGTGAAAAAAAATGAAAGCTCTCCTAAATCTTCATGTTCTTCCAAGAAAAAAGAGAGTAAATTTGCTGGCTTTCAGGCGCTGTCAGCTCATCTATCAGTATGTCCCCCAGGTAAAGCAGATTCCAAACAGAAGATTGCATTTTGCTTTCTAGGACCTCTAAGCCTTTAGGTAGATGCAAACTTATGGATTGTATAATGAGATTGTTTTATTTCCTTTTCTGGTACCATATGATGGATGAGGTTCTTTGAGTTAAACATCACAAATTCTACTGAAAGATACTTGTAACCAGTGAAAGTAGAGAAAGAAGTCCTTGTACTATGATTTTGCCATAAATTGTTCCAGTAATTATGCGAATATGACTGACAATGTCCGCTTTGGACAATCCCATCTCTGTAGTGGCTGGGTTGACTATCTCCTTTGCTCATCCAAGCTGCAATATTTGTTTCACCATTAGAAGGGAATCAGATTAGCAATTTGATGCAAGCTGCTCCTTCTTCAATGGACTGTGTACGCAAGTTGGAGATAATTTTCTACTATTAGATTGCCGTCTCTCCCTCACTTGAGGTTTGAGTTGTCTATGACTGAAGATGAAAGTTACTGATCATGAACAGGTTCTGTGACAGCTACGCTTCCTGACTGATTCAGGTCCTCCAGTTAAGGTTACATTCTCCCACAAAGTTGTGAAGCCTCTTCTTTTACAAGCATTGTGTAATCAAAAAGTTATTCACTGTTAATCAGTTTATTTCCAGGGATATGAAATCATGCCTCTGATGAAGAAGCATAAAACATATGAAGGGTGGAAGTCAACATCACCCAAGGTACGAATGGACAACAAACACATTTTTCAATATGCATACTATTCTACTAATTTGGGATGACTTGACTATGGCATATCTTCTTCACATGAATTAATTGAAATTGAATTGAAGTCAACCTTTCTCAAAGGATGAGAAAAGGTAAAATAAGAGGTGGCGGGAAGCCAGTGGAAGCAAGGTGAACATTGAGTAGCTTCAAGCTATCTCGGAGAAGACTCATCATCCTCACCCTGTTTAAGAACAGCGCACAGCACCTGCTTGGAAATGTATGTCTCAAGTTCCCTTGAAACCTCTGTCAGTTTTGGGTCGAAGCTGCTCCTGTACTTTTGAGGCCTTGGAGAAGGAGACCCTGAGAATCTCCGCCTGGGGCTGGAGAGACGTCTGCTTGGTGAACTTGGAAACCACCCCCTCGGGACAACAGGTGTCGTGTCTCTAAGGATCACCTTCTTCGCTTCTGGGTTCATCAATGGTCCCTGTTTCATCTCCAGCGGCAGTGGTTTCAGTGGTGATATGGACAGTCCAGTCGCTACCATGGGTGTCAATTTCTGTCTCATTCTCTCCCTTGCTCTCTCAGCTGCCATCAGTGTCTTCTCCTTGCTCATTTTGATCAGTTTCCATGGGTCGATGTGGAATTCTGTCTTCTTGTTTGGAGTTGAGTCTGAATCTTTTTCGATTCTTATCGATAATCTTTGGGTGCTCTGCGAGTAGATGGAAATTTCTCCTTTTAAGTCACATGAAGATAGTCTCCTAGCTACAGAAAAATCAGGCATGTGGTGATCTTACTTGGCTCTTTTCAGATTTGTGACATCGGAACCGAGACAGCAGAGTGGGTCTTTCTGGTGAGTCTAAGTCATCACTTTCATCCGAAGATGAATACAACTCATCAAATGGATCAACCGACTGGCTTTGTTCTCTCATTGCCAGGATGTAATCGTATGTTCTCATTCCCTGCAGTCATAGTTAAAACAGATATTACACATATTAGCAAAATCCAGAAGCAAGTCTAGCGGATTTCATTTTCTTTATCACTTGTGGTTCGACTTACTTTTAAGGTTTGAAATTATCTTCATGCCTGCTTTATATTCTTATTTATGTCAAACCTTTTCTATCAACTTCCCGAATTTAGTTCCCATTTAGCCAGAAGTTTGTTTGAAAGACTGAAATTTTGTATACTTAATGATTATGCTTAAAAGTAATAGAAATAAATCAATGGCATCCTTAAACATTAAAAATAATGATGGTATAGCTCATATCTATCTTACAAATGTTCCATTGAGTTTTGTGTTAGCAATATTGCACATCTCTCCACATTATCTTTTGGGCAAACAACTTTATAAGGTCTTTTACGATAGATTTAGTTGATAAGCAACAAGGTTATGAATATTTGTTGAGGAGAATAATCATCACAATTTATATAAAAAAAATTAACTGATTTTATGCTTAAACAATCTTATAACATTAATGATTGTCATTGAATGTATCCTTTAGCATATCCTACCTGTGTAATTTAATTCAAATCCAAAATGAATTATGTGGTTCACCCAAAAAGATAATAATAAAAGATATCAAAACTGATCTAATAATCACTGAGATTGTTTCATTTTATGCAATTTTTAGTATGATGACAATGCAGGCAAGATTCAGTATGCAGCTTAGTGTTATGAAATAAGAAAGAGTTCTTCTTTGATTCTCAATGATAGATTACCTTTCTGATGAGAACTACATGAAAGAAAAATAGCTGCCCCAATGCTGCTGTGCTATATGCCGTCAGTAGCGCCAGAAACATCTGCAGAAACAGGAAGTTCATAATTATTCGAACACACTAACATCTTTGTTTCGAGGGAGATCCAAAACAGTTCAAGAGACTTGTAGGAAATAACTGATATTGCTGCAAGAACTCCTTTGGGAATCTCAGCATGGAGAATCTCTTTCGATTCGCTGGCGATCTCCTTTCCGTTGGTGAAGCAGCGAACGAAGACCACAAACGCAGTTCCGCCCTCTATGATGAGCTGCAGAATAGACAATTGCATGAACAACAGTTGAGAATGCAGACTGATGAAGCTCACATACATGATTCGTGGCTGTACCGACCATTAACAATGTGAGAAGCATGAGGAGGATGAAGGTGGTGTAGTTCTTTCTTCCGATACAGTTGTTGAGCCACTGCAAGAAAGCAATGTGTTGGTAGAGAGACACAAGTGGGTCATTTGAATCAGGATGGCTTGTGAGCTCCTCACCCTGCAATGGTGATCGAATCCGTCGACGCACCTGTCACAGCTCCGGCAATGCTTGCTGTGCTTCTTCACCTGCAAAATGAAGAGACGTCATGGATGAGAGAGATGGTTTCAAACAGAGGACCAAGAAAGGGTTGCTTTTTGCCAAAGTGAACCTCCAAGTCACAGAGAGTGCAGAATGTGATGTCGTCGTCCTTCCGATCGGGCATTGTGGCGGCGTCTTCGAGGAATACGAGAGGAAAGGAGAGGAGGGGCTGCATTTGGACGTTCGGGTGCCATGGATCCAAGTACTTCCTCCTTATGCAGCGCCTGAGGATCCTGCCTTCTACCTTCCTGAAGAACCTCACCACCACCTGCCACAACATGAACCTGTAGTTCAGCTTCGGCAGGCCCGCGGACTTGCTTCGCCTCCGTTTCTTGGCGGCCGTCCTGTCCGATGGATCGATGGCAGTGCACCTCGTGTATAGGATCGCTACCGACAATGCCTGCAACAGAAGGATAGTACCGCTTTGGATTGCTCAAGAACAAGGCCGAATCGGAGCTGGGACTGATCTCTCACCGCGAAGAAGAAGAGCGTCAGGATCGTGTTCTTGAGAATTCTGTTCCCTAGAAAAGGTCCGAGGAAAACGAAGAAGGAGATCACCAGGAAACAGAACACAGCCATTCCCACAAACTGCATCATATCGACACTGTTACGTGAATCACTTGTACGAAATGGAGAATTACAGGGGAGTGGGAGAGGGTGGGAGACCTGGAGAGGATGGAGAGGGAGTTGCCAACCGTGGCGCCTCATGCTTGATTGATCTCGAGAAGTCGTCGTCGTCGTCGTCGACCAGAAGAGGTCTGTCTCTTCTTCCCCACCTTCTGCTCTGTGTAGTTTTCATGCTTTGCAGGCAACGGTCGACTTGGTGAGAGATTTCAAATTCGAAAGCTGGGTTCGGCTGCCTCCCGTTACCGCCAGGTAATTTTGTGCCACATAACCAATCCAAATCATTTAACAGGAGGAGGGAAATGCTTTAGAGGCACCCCACCGCAGCGAACCCAACAGGGACATCAGATGATCCGAACCGTCGATTTCACATCCACGGCTGATCGCATCGCGTTCTTGTTCGGCTTATTGCGTAGGTTGTCGTGCTTGGTGTTTTCTCTATGTGCCCGTCTTATCCGATTCGTTAACACGCTCCTAACCGCGGCCAAATGTTCCGTCTATCCAATTAATTGTTCGTGGTA